AGGAAGACAGTGAATGTCAAGTAAGTCGTTTTTCTCCCCAACCCCCACGCCCCTCAGGCACACATTTCCCTTTTAACATTCTTAGATTACCACAACCTTTTAAATTCACTCTACTGTACTTACATACTGTGTTAGACACACCAGCAATTATGGTTGTTAGCATGACATCCATTGCCTACACTTAGTTAACAAAATAACTTAAAAGTCACATGCATCAGCCTCTTAATAGGGTTATAATCAATGGGACCCTGGAATGAAAGCCCTAAAAATTACCCCCCACTTCTGCATTCCCCAGGTTTCTGCCTTTGCCAACACAATCCATATGGTGGGCAGTCTCATCTGGCTCAAGGTGAACACTCAGTTCTTCAGTTCTCAGCGATCTCCTCTTACATGTTCTTGCCATGTTTTCCCCATGGTAAATCCAAGGAACTTTGAAGAAGACTCTGTGTAAAGGAAACAGAATACATTAATAAATTCATTCCTATGGCTTTAGTGAATCAGGGGCAAAGCACCCACTGCAAAAGAGGTTCATGGCATGGAAAAAGTTCCTTTGGAGCAAGTCATGGTTATCCATATCAAAGCTGCTCCCTGGCCTACAACTGGGAGTCTGGTATGCTCCAGCAGTGGAGCAGGATGTCACCAACCTCTGCATATAGTGCCACAAACTTCTTTTTCAGTTTTAGAATTACAGAATCGCAGACTCGTTTGGGCTGGAAGGGACCTTAAAGACCACCTTGTTCCAACCCCCTGCCACGGGCACGGACACGTTCCACTATCCCAGGTTGCTCCAAGCCCAGTCCAACCCGGCTTGGAACACTTCCAGTGATGGGGCAGCCACAGCTTCTCTGGGCAACCTGTGCCAGGGCCTCACCACCCTCCCAGTCAAGAATTTCTTGTAAGCATCTAACCTAAATTTCCTCTCTCTCACTTTGAACCCAGTACACCTTCTACCACAAATTTTGAATGCTTTAACCTGAAAGGCAACTGGCAGCAGCTCAATGCACCTCAGCACCCCATGGGGGAAACACCAGGGCACCCATCACCTTCACTTCCATCGAGCTGGTGCAAGTTACACGAAAAATGGGAATTCCTGCTCCAGCCCTCCAAGGGGTGTAGGCTCTGAAGGTTTACCCCAGCCCTCCTTGCTGTGCTCTGTGGACTGTCTGCCTCCGAGCCGTCTCACACACCTGCTCCAAGTGCAGCTGTGTATGAGGAGCAGCCACAGGTTCCAAGGGGAGAAACGGTGCTTTTCACATGGAACAAAATGCACAGCTTGTTTCGTCCTGCTGTTGTTTGGGGACAGGTATTTTACCTGATTGCAGCCACCCCCTGGCAGATGCAGAGGATGCACTGGATCCCACCTCCCTCCCCGCCCCACTGCCCACTAAGTTACGATACTGCAGAGAAAAGAAGGAGAAAAAAAAAGAAAAATAATTTGGTGATCAACTTATCAGACTTGGATCAAGTCTGAGCCCAAACCAAGGTTAAATAGGCCTGTTCTAAGGTAGGATTTATATAGCAATTACAGTAATGGAAACTGAGCTTTATAATTCTTATACTGCCTAAAATTCTGCTGTGTCATATGCATCTGCAGAGCCCGAGGAATGTGCTGCTCAGGGAGCACTGCAGTCCTGAAAGCAGCCATTCAGATGGATCATGGAGAGTTATTGGAGCACGTGGATGTTCGAGATTTTAATGAAGCACAAAGAGTTAGAATCAGAAATCCTGAGAAAAGCAGGGGGGTTGTATTTGTGACAAGCAGTATTTTTTAAATGTTTTATTTTGTTCGGAGTTTATGGAACTACATCTGCATCACACGTGGTGCAAACAGCATTCTGAGTGTCCTTTTATCCTTGGATTTCTTTTCCTTTGCTGCAGTCTTAGACCTAGAGTGAGCACAGTACATATTGGCCAGACAGAATCCTCGCAGCCACTTTCCAGTTTTCTCTGTGGTGCAAGGAAAAATACCAGCGTGCTAAGTCTTTGCTGTGTGATAAAGAACAACTTGGGAAGATCTGGGGATCTGATAGGGGGTTTGGCTCCACCTTCAGGAAGCAGAAGGCAGAGAGACAACGCGGGCTTGAGTTTCAGACTCTCTGCAGAAACTGGAGCCTACAACCTCCTCTAACTGACATCTACTGCTCCCCAACGGGTCTTTGCTTCGGATTTACCAGATTATCTGATCTGATGCCGTGGATTTTCTACATGGTTGATACAGCTCTGAAGAGTCCAACTCCTACTAGAAGTACTTGAAGAATTGGGGCAGGATGTCCAGAGGGAGATGGTACATGGACAGACAGATGTATGAACAAAAGGAAACAAAAAGCAGTTTTGAGGTGAAAAAAAAGTTGGGACATGTGGGAATCGGAGAGTTGTATCAAATACCATTAGCCATTCACGCTGTTGCTGAGGTTTCCCTACAGAGTGCGATTTTCTCTTACAATTCCCAGAGATTAGAAAGGTTCTCTGGGTAACACAGATGGATTGAGAGGAAGAAAGTGGGAAGAGCCTTGATCAAATTTCAGTCTAGCAAAACATTTAAGCATATGCCTAAAGTTAAGCTATTTTTTCTCCTCGGATTCAGGCAGAAGATGCAAACAGAACAATCTCCTATATTTCACTTCTTGGCAGACTCTGATACAGGCTGAACCCAGAACAAGGTAGCTAGTTAAAGAGAGTGAATTAAATGAATTCAAATAAAGAAACTGTATAGTTACCATTTATAATAATGAAAAAGGCAGAGTAGTTAGGGATGAGATGACACTGAGTTTGAAAGTCTGTATGATGCATTAGTGACATAATTAGCAATCACACAATTAGCAACAGTCCTATGAGGCAATGGAAATGCAGTCTTGCCTTTGGAATTTCCCCAACTGGGTGCCTGAGCACCCAACTTCATTGTATTTAACATCGTCTTCTGGAGGAAACAGGTTTGAAAACTGCAGAGCAAGCAACAGGGCAGAGACGGCCCAAAAACCTAACACATCTAAAATTAAAAAAAATCTTAAAAGCAGAGAGGAGATGGGAGCAGACTGAATAGACATGGCTGTGCAAGCAAAAATAACTGAATATACTCCTGAGGAACAAAGGAAACAATTCTTGATGGGGTGACAACAGATGTTCTCCAAAAAAAAAAATTCTAAGGGAGCATTTTAAAAACAAAGACCTTTCTGTGGAGCTGAGAAGTTTTACTGGCAGACGTACAGGAATACATCTTTGGAAACAGAATAAAAGCTAACATTTAAGGTGTTATCAGGTCCTGAAAGCAGCAGTGATATCTTCATGTAATAAATAGTGGGTGGCAGTGGAGAGGGAAATGGTGAGGATAACAGAATACTGTCACAGGAAGTTGCTGTGGCATAGCTGAGATTTAAATCCTAGGAGCAAGAACTAATTTGTTCTAAAGTATCTCTAAATACACTTTAAGATGCACAGGTTAACCTAACTGAAGAAGTACAACCCAGAGACATTTATTAATGCAGAGCAAAGACACCCATTTTGCGCTGTGGGAATGAATGTCAAGTGTCCAAAGCTGGATGTTTCTCCCAGCTCCTGCTCCTTCAGATCACGGTTAAGCACATTGCAGAAACCCCTAAAATGGACATCAAAAAAGGAGGGAAAAGGACAGTTTACAGAGCCATTTTTGCAATGACTGAAGTGCATGTGTACTTTGGGAAGATCTGGATTTCATGCCTGGCCAGGATCTGCAGCATCTTCAGTGAACAGCTTCATATGAGTTTTAAAGCTTAAGGCACTTCAAATTCTTGTTTTAAACTCTGGCCTTTACTTTTAATGTTCTTTAATTTTACAGATACAAAATAGTATTTCTCTGCCTTGTTGGAATGTTGAAAGGATTCCTGACTATCTACAAGGCCAGCAGATATCATTTTATCTGAGAACAAGGCAGGAGGATGACATACTACATTGTCTAATTATTTTCATTGCTTTGCAACTGTTTTGGGGGAAACAATCCAGAGGGAATATTATTCCAGTGCAATCAGAACTACAGAGACACTGGGATGGACAAGCTGATTGACAGGAGGAAGCTAAAGCAGGCGGCAACACAGAAAATCATCATTGGACAGACATTTTGATAAATATTCCCGTAGCCAATTTATTATTAACACAGAGGGACAGCTTTACATCTTGCATCACACTTTTCACAGCCCTTATGGTAAACATGCCATATCTGACAATTACAAGATGAAAACAAAGACCTCACTAACTCTCTCCTGGCCCTGCAGTTATTATCTGCTTGCTCAGTTAACCCTCTCTGCTCTTCAACTGAAGGAGCAATATAGAAACACAGACATGCGTGTTCAGATATGGAACAGAACCCCAGCAGCATCCCATACAAGTTCCAAGGGTTGTGCCATCTCTGGCACTAGTTTCTAAAAGGTTTTACAGACATGGGAGAGGGCTGTAGATGAAGTGGAAAGTTGTCAGGAGAAGACAGAGGATGAACTGGAATAAGACTTAAAGGAGGGAGAATTAAATTGCCCTGTCTGGTCGCCCGTGGCTGGATTCTGCCTGTGATGACAGAGCAGTGCAGTCCTGGCATGACCATACACTGCATCACAAACCAGAGCTGCAGAAAGGAAGAATCCCACTGCAGTTTTTATTTCCTGGACTGGCTGGTACACATCGCTTTCTACAGAAACACTGCAACTTGGAATAGCAGATCTTTCTCTCTGCTGGCTACTTGGCTTCTGGGATTAACAAACTATCTGACGGACCTTGTAACCAACTATATTTTCATCTGATTCACACAAAACAGCTCCTAGATTCTTCTACAGACAATGAAGCACAAGATAGACTGCTGAAATCACCACGTCAAGCCCTCTGCTACTTGTACACCTGGAGACACATTTTAGAATGAAATCTTGCGTGATAAGTTGCCCAAGGCTAGTTTTTTATTATAACATCCATGACATCTTCCTATTTTTGCAGCTTCATTATCGGCTTCAGGGTTAAAAAGCAAAAGCAGACAAGTCACAGGATGATCTTAGCCAGGAGATTTTATTTGATTCAAACATCTATTTTCCATCCACTTCCTGTCTTTCAAAGTATTTCAGGAAACAAAACTGATGTGCACAAAGAGCATTCAGTGAGAGAGAAACCAAAGGGAGGTGCAACAAATATCAAGCAAGGGAAGGGAGCTGTAACAGAGTGTTCTTGTCTCTTTGAACCCACAAGTAAAATGCATGGTAGGAAGTATTCCAAAACCACGTCTTTCTTGTGTGAAGGAAGGAATTAATGTTAAGCACAAAGTATTCCTTGTGGTTTATTCTCATTACGTGATATGTCAGGTTACGCTGATTTGGAAAAAAAACAGGATTTCTTGACAAAGCTTTCTGTGCGCTGGGTTTAATGTGGGTTAAAAGGAGACTAAAAACCACAAATTGTGCTTTAAAAAAAAATCAATTTAGGAATCTCATTTTTGGTAATTCCCTTAAAGATACCCTTTGTGGACACATTATAATGTTTTGAAAGTTTCAGCTGAAAAATAGAATAGGCCAAATTTTTTAAAAAATCTATAGACTACAGTTTCTATCACATGGATTTCTCACTCAGTTGCTGCCAGTTTTCCTTAGAAGGTAAAGGGAATATTTAAAATTGGTCAAATAATGTGAAGATTTTGTTTTCTGTCTCTGTGTGTATATACTTTTCTTTAAAGGAACAACATGGGAAACCTTAGTTGTCCTAAAGACTCTGGTCAAATGACTTTGAAGGACACGATTATTTCACAGAAACACAAGGAATCCAAAAAAAGAACCTTTTAAGGGCTTTATTAGTCAAAGAATTCACTCTTTTGACACTGTAGCTGAAAAACACATGCACCAATTTATTTTCAGAAAAAGAAGGTATGTATTTCACTGTGGATGGTTGCAAAGGAGGAAAGAAAAAAAATCAAAATAAGCAGAACAATTATTTCCTCTTCTAACCTCAGGCCATGTCAACATCCACCCTCTCTTTCTGTTATGTGTCATCTAAGGTTCTATTTTTTATGCCTCCATACTTTTTACTGTTGATCAGCACTGACCAAATTTTGCTATTTGACCAAACTTTGTCTTCAAGCTTTACAGAAGTCATTATTTCAATTAACAGAATTTCACAGGATACACCAGAACAAGACTTGGGGATATTTGGATTTTAACAGGATAGAAAGACAGACAGTTTGTGTGGTTTGGGATATTTAAGTTAATTTCCAAACTGCCACTTTCAAAACTGTTATGAGAACAGATCCTGAGTGTAATCCTGGCCTATCCACTCTTTTTCCAGTTCTCTGTAAAACTCTTAATTATACTTACAGACACAGAACATCAGTGCAAATTACAAAAGTCTGCATATTTCACAAATGATATAACTTAGCAAGAAACTTTGTGCTCCCAGAAATAGAGCAGCCACAAAGTTAGACCTCTGAGGTAAACTCATTCACTTTAGGAACTTTCATATTTGATCATTTTCGTTCAAGGTACATTTAATATTCCGTTCTGATGAAGTGCAATTAATAAGTCCTCAGCAATTCCAGTGGACAACTGGATCCAGCTGTTGAAATAAGCAGCACCTATGGATTTGTGACACTTGTTGTCAGGATTAGGGATAGGTCTGCATTTTCCTGAAGGTTGCATTGGTGATGGTGAGCCGTGTGAGCCTCGCACCGTAGTAATCTATGATGTAACTGGAGCCATCGGAAGGTCCAACGATCTGTAAGAGAAAAAAAGAACCAAGACTTTTCAATATGAAGTGAAATATATACTTTGTGCTAATGTCTCAATTACTGCTAATTTTCCCATCATAAAATTAGTCATGCTTAATTAGTCAAACAGAAACTAGATTTATTTTGAAGTTATGCTGCAGTTTAACTGTTTTAGCGAGCGCTGTCTCAGAAGGAACATTTCCCCTGGGCTTCTAATCAACCAAATTACACAGCCAGGCACTGGGACTCAGCTAATCCGGTGAGGATTTGAGTCACAAAATCAGGTTAACAAATGAATGGGCTCCAAACCATTTTTCTTGAACAAAGGAGGGTCTGCAGCAGAGAATTAGACTGATGACAAGTATCTTTGAAACATGGCACAGGTAAGGAATGAAGAGAAGTAGAGAAGATCATGGAGTTTTTTGTTCTGGAAGTGCTAAATTGATGTGGGGTCACCAGGGAGATCAACAAGGAGAGATGAAAGATACTCTCAGCTGGATCTGTAAGTGCTCTGAGGCAAGATCACTGTGATAGCATAGAAAGGAATTTGAGAATGCACAGAAAAGACAAAGCTGCACACAGATATACAAAGATGCACACTTTCAAAATATTTTCCTATAAACCCATAGAAACAACTCCTATATCCACAATGGAGTTTAACTTCATGAAAGGCAGTTTGCAATTCATGCTAAATGGTTGCACTGTAGAATAAGACAATTTGGCAATTTCCTGATGTCACAAGATGTCACTCCAGCTGGGGATTTCACCCTCATGAATCCTACAGTCACAGCTCTCGGTTGATCTGGGACTTGTATTTGGAAGAGAGGCAGAAAAAAGTGGCAATGTCTTCTCTCATGAGTATAAAGCACATGCAAACACAGAACTTCAGGATTTTGGGAACACCAGGACATCTCATGCTGAGTCCAACACCCTGTGTCATATAAAGAGGTTCTGATAAAGTGAATTTATAGTGCTCTTCATTGTAAGTATTTATAAATAGCTAATCTAATTTTTAATTCCAACAGCAAATACACTGATATTTCATGTCTATTCTATGACATCAGTCTCCAAACAGAGCCAAAAAAAATGCCTTGATTTTTCAATACCCAAAGGTTCTTAAGGCTAAAATGCTAACAAAGTATTAGCAATCAAATCACAGCTTTAACAAACAGAGATTTATATCTTGTTTTGAAAACCCTGACTTACCTGCATTGAAATAAGTATGAAATCAATTAGGCTCCCAATTCCACAAAATCCTACAGTGCAGAATTTTAACAAACCTGAAAAATAAAAATAAAATTTAACTGCAACTTTAAGCAACCACTATGAAGTTCTCATGTTTCTGATGGCAATCGCATCTCAAGTCTCTCCCTTTCCAGAAGGGAAAAAAAAATCCCATGTGCATTCCTGACTGTGAGGGTGGTGAGGCCCTGGCACAGGTTGCCCAGAGAAGCTGTGGCTGCCCCATCCCTGGAAGCATTCAGGGCCAGGCTGGATGGAGCTCTGGGCAATCTGGTCTAGTGGAAGGAGTCCCTGCCCATGGAACATACCAGCTGGCATTTGAGGAACCCAGCAGGTCTCTACAATTGCTGGTTCCAGCAGCAGCTCTAGGTCACCTGAGGAATTGGATGGAGAAGAAATGTTTCTGAACCTGGTATTTATTTCTGGAGTACAGGGCTTTTTTCTTCCTCCTCACTTTCCTCCCCACCAGCAGATCACACTGAGAAAATAAACTTCTCTAAAGCATGGAGGGAAAAATAGTGCTCTTCTGCATTAATAATTGATGGTTTCGTTCACAGTGTGTGGGAGAGGAAGAGGTTGATTTCCTGATTTCTTCATACTCAATAGCTTGTTTGTATTTGTGTGCTCTTTAAGCAAAAGAGATGGAAAAAAAAATAAACCAAAGAGCATTTACACTCTTCATTACACTTGCAAAAAATATTTCAATGCCATTAACCTTTCTTAACCACTTTTTACCAAGGCCCAGATAACCTAAAAAATCCCCAGTCAGTCACTGTCATGGAATCCAAAGTGTTGATTTTTATTCTTTTAATCTTTTCTACTCTTACCTATTTGCTTTTGTCTTCTTTACCTTTAAAAAGAGAGAAAACTTGGCTTTGGAAGGGTTTAATTTTAGGTCTTAACTTTGGTACTGGCTACAGTATATTCCAGTAGGGTTAAAGCATGAGCCATGAAGAACGTCACGTGAGAATTAAGGATTTATAAATCTATATATTACTACAATATATTACAAAATAATTATTGCAAATTATTATTGCAAATGCAGTGATAATACAAAAAGATGCACCTTATTGACTGCTTCCAAAAATGTATCTCTTTGTGAAAGAGAGAGACGAAGTCAGTGCTAATCATAGAATCTCAGGGATAAAAGACATGGATGTTAACACAAGATTACTGAGAAGGACAGGTAACGTCATGAAAGAAAAAAAAGAAGTCTTTGCATTTAATGGTCAGAAACTCAAAATTCCCAACTGAAGTAAGACACATTGCTTTTTCCAAATCATTGCTCCATGCTGTCTACACTTAAATTGACTCCCTTTGCCCAGCTCAGAAACAAAGCCAGTAAAAGTTGTTTTAACATACATTTTTTTAAATTATTAACTATTTAAAGTCAGTGGCACCATCATCCTGGGAATCAGGTCCTAAAAATACCAACCAGGAGAGATCTTATTAGAAGTCCCAGTTTCTGCAGAACTGTTATTAACAGTGTGATTTATCTTGAAGCTACGCATTTGCCAGAATAAATTCCATCTCCCAAAACACCAGGTGTACTGTAAATTTGTGTGGTATTTTTCTGGTAAAAATCAAGCCTCATTTAAGTAGCTGGCACGTGAGTCAAACCCACTTCTGTTCCAGTGCCTCCCAAAGAATGCTGTGGTAAACATCAATGCAAAGCAAAACTATGAACAGCAATAACCACGTTTGCTTATTAGGATTTTATCTGTTGGACAACTATATATCCATTTGTCACCACTCCAACAGAAGAGTAGGCTGAGGATAATGCAGAATTTTATCTTGACAATAAAGTAAGGATTCTAGTTGTAAATATTAAAACTATGACTGCCGGTCTTCATTACCTAAAATATGAGTATACACATACAATTTAGTCATAATAACAAGCTTGACCTCAAAGAAAAGGAATAAACTTACCTAATGCAGGATAGCCTAGATAAAATCTATCTGCTCCCAACCATCCAAGAAATAAGGACAGAGCCACTGCCACTTTGTAGGAATATCCATTTCTGCCAAAAGAAACAAGCAATGTAGATAATGACTGCAAAATATATCCACTCATACTTTTGACTATTAAAGTAGTGACTCATTTTCCTGCTGCTTCAGTTTAAAAAAAAACAACAGACTTGTTATTTATCTTCAATTAACGGCCACAGAATTGATAATGTTAAGCTTTCAAACTGGGAAGGCATCCTCCATAAAGCAACCTCAGCTGCTGCAACTCAAGTGTACTCTTGCAGAATACAGATTATTCTGAAACTAAATGATGATTTCTTGTCAAGACATAATTCAGTTGCTGATCCGTCCCCAGTTTCACAGAGCACTTCCTAACAGTTCAGCCCTACTGAGACAAGCCCAGAAAGCCAGGAGGTGTGTGAATACTGTCTGCAGGCATTAGTCTCACACGCAGCCAAATCGAGAGGAACAGGACAGACAGGTGAGGTGTCAGCAGAGACAGTAATTGCAACGAGATCTGAAGGAGAAATGAACCATGGCCACCGGCTGAAGAAGCTGCAGGAAGGATTCAGCAAAAAGAGTAAGTCATGTATCCACTCACTACACTCTAAAAGGCACAAACTCACAATGAAAAGAACTGTTGACTGTACAAAGATGTACAGGGGCAGAGAGGTATTCTAAGTTCAGTTTCCCATGGTTAGTCATACAACATAAACAGATACAATACACTTTTTGAGATTTGTCCTAATTGGCACCTTTCTTGCCAACAGCCAGAGCGATGCAGCCACCAAACCACCTGTAACTCCAGTTCCTGCTGATGTGAACTTTACAATTAATTTACAGCTAAAAACATATCACTCTCAATACCAGAACTTGCTGCCTCGGAGAACAGAGAGCTTCTGAAAACCAAACCCAAATGTAATTAGAACTTAAAAATATTCAATAATTCACTGTTTTGGTAAGTGCACAACTACATGCCAGCAACTATTTAATAGGCCCAAATTAAACTCTTGGTTGACAGCTGAATAAAACAGAGTTTCAAAAAGACAGTAGCTGACAAAAGTCCAAGCACCTTTATTAAGCATTTTCAATGCCAAGTAAAGATTTACCTTTTTGCTTATTATCTAGATTTACTGACTTTAAGACTTAATGGCAACATTAAGTGATTAAATCATGACTCTTACCTCAATATTTGTTACTTGGTGTTTATTAGCAACACGGAACACACCGGGCATTCCTGGAACCTAATGTAATGTAAATTATCATCTTCAGAACTGCCTTGTTGCCACTGTAAAGAACACTTACGGGTTTACTTTAAGTTGAGGTAAACTGTTGGAAATTGTTTATCAGCCACGAAGTGTCAACAGCCCTCCAAGGACACTAAAGCATAAAGAAAGCTGTTACATAAAAAATGGGAACACGGTTTAATTTGAGATGCTCCTGATCAAAAGTAGTAATAAACTGAGCACTTGCCTATGCACTGAGATGTTTTTAAAAGCAGAGCAGTCTGCAACCTCATCAACATCAAACTGACAGGGAGAAGAAATCCAGTATGAAGTGGAAGCATGAGAATACTGCAACAAGACTGCATCCACTTCTGTGTTTCATTTGTCTTACTCTTTCAGATAAAAACATGCACTGAAGACTAAACCAGTGAGTAGGAAAATGACACATCCCAGGCATCTGAAGAAATTTCTAGAATTGGGTAAAAGATGTAATTTCTTTTCCGTTCCTCTTCTGATTTTTTTCTTGCTTCTCACCATCATCAAACCATTATTTTTTCTGCATATCTTTCTTCCAGATGCCATGTTAAAAACTTCTCCTTCCAACTCTTCCTTAGCAGCTGATAATATCAGGTACTGCTTTGGTTCACTCTTTTGAGGTCTCTCACCTCTGCTCAAAGACCTCTCCACACTGAAGCCCATGAATTTCAAAGATTACCACTTCATGGGCTCCTTCCCTGGAGTGGCAACACTTGCACAATGGACATTTAAAAGTCTGCAGAATCAGAGCCTCCGCATGTTAAGCAAAATACATAATAGAAGGCCAATCTAAAGGATTGTAAAATTTGGCCAAAATCTACCTCCAAAACATTAAACTAAAGCCAAACCTAAGCAACCTTGACTCCCAGTACTTCTCTGTTGGAGCAATCTTATTAGCACTTACAAGCTTTTCCTTGAATTATCACAAGGAGTAACTGAACTTGAACACAACCACTTACACAAACATACATCTCCTGGTCTTGCTTTAAAATAACTGGATCCCAGAACTGTTATCTAAATTACAGTTTTGGTTAAGGACAGCTTGCTGATTTGTCCTTTCCAAAAGCTGGGGATAGATTTACCTTCTGTGTCCATGCTAGGACAACCCTGCTACGAGAAGATGCCTTCTCAAACTAATTTTCTGGTTAAATGATGTGCAGTTATTTCTGCCAGAAGACAGTTACAGTTTCCATCAAAACTCATATAAGAGGCTGGAAAATCTCCAAAAAGCAGTAGAAAGGGCAGGGCTATTATTATAATATTAAGTTGGAGATTCCAGCTTAAAATAATGTTTCAAACACTTAGGTAACATTCAAAGTGCCTTAGAAAACATCTATCAGTAACTGGACTACTTTTTAAACACGTGTACAGATAAAAGATGGTGATATTAATCTTGCTGCCATTTTTAACTAGTTTTGGGACTTTATCAAGGACATGCTTGTGTAACTCTTTCTTTTCACAGTTGTGTTTTACTGGAGTTTTCAGCCCAGAAGCATGCTCTTCCCTTTCTGCCACTCTGGCAATCACAGGACTCGAAAAGCCACAGCAAAGTTCTTTTGGCAGTGTAACCATTAATTATTCATCATAAATAATCATCACAACTAAGTTATATGCATCATAAAACAGATTACATTTTTCTGCCTACGGGCTTGGGTTTTAATTAATAAACATAAAGAAAAGTTACATTTAAAAAATGTTTCTGGAAAATATATTAAACCAAAAATATATGTATACTAAAAACCTCTAAACTTAAGAATTACCATCTAATCCAAAGAGGAAGCAATTTTATTAAACTAGTATAGCTCATCTTCTTCTCAGTCCCCATCACAGATGGCATTGAAACACAATTGTTTCTGGACAAAAATGTGACTGAAGTCTAGTTTGAAGCATTTAAATTTGATTAGATGTAATAATATGTTTTCTTCAGTTTGCTGAGCTTTGACTGCTGAGAAAAGTAAATACAGAGAAAATATTTATGAAACTAAGAGGCAGAGCTGTACTTCTAAGTTAGGCAAATTATTGAGCAGTGGGTACCACATAGGAGTTATTTGCCCACCAGAGTGATAAGGAATACCCAGTGAGTATTGCTGGACTTTTCATTTCCAAGGATTCCAGTAGGACAGAAGAAAGAGGTTCCAGTGTGAATCCCAAAAAAAGCAGAAACAAATGGTACTGACAGGTGCTGGCTGATCATTAGCATTGGCCAGTTGGAACATTGTTTGGTATCCAGAGCTCTCCATCACTCACAATGTGCTTTAGAAAAACTAGGTCCAACATTCACATACAAGAAACAGGCTCTTAAAAGACACAGAGGGTTTGATTAAATGCAAAAGTTGTTTAAAAATAGAGAACAGTTGCCCTTAAAGAGATTTTTGGAAGAAGTGGAGAGACTGAAGCTCCCCCAGTATTCCTGCATACTACAACTTCAGCACAGGCACACTGTAAACTGGCATGAAGCACTGAACAGCACAGCCCAGTCCAGCCCTCCTTTCTCCTCTCCCTTTTATCCTTGAGTCACCCTCATCCTTGTGCTGGCACCAGCACTTGAAGCCACTGTACTGTGACTCAAACTGGGGAACTGATCCAAGTTAGCTCAACCCAGATCAGTTCCCTGATGCCGTGGGGTCTGTCAGGGCTGGGAGGGGATGGAGGGGTGTCCCCAACAGCTCCTTCACCAGCTGTACTGATTTTAAGCATATGTGAAATGTGGCCTTAGCATTAGGGGTAAAATTTTGCCAGGCTAAAGTACTAAGTAAAGCAAAGACACAAATATAGCTAAACACAACAACAAAAATGTGCAGGCAAAGACAGATTCACTTATGAACATGCATGTTTTGAGCAACCTGGCCTAGCAGAAGGTGTTCCTACCCACGGCAGGGGCTTCGAAAGAGATGAGCTTTAGGGTCCCTTCCAAACCAAACCATTGCATGACTCTCTGTTGCATCCTTACAGTGTTTATTAGAGGATTAACTACTGGGCAACATGTGTTTGGTTCTATTTTACTTCTCTTTTTCCTTCTGTCAACACATCACATGGTTTTAGAAAAACATCAATGCGAAAACAAAGACAAACGATCACAAAAGCCCGTGAGTACTTACACATTGCGACACTCAATAGGCTTGTAAAATCCAACCTCCTGTCCTGTAAAGACTTTTTCTATGCCAAGGTGATCTTTGCAAGTAATATTTGGTGCTGGTAGACATTGAACTGAGGACAAAAAAATTATTTGAAATTGAGCAGTAACTGACAATCACAGCATTTTTCTAGCAAAACACAACTGAAACAAATTTAAGTTCTGCTGTTGAACGGTCTTGATAAGACAGCACAGTTCACACACATATTACTTGTTTAAAAATATTTTTTTAAGTCCTATGACCAACCTGTATTTTTTCTTTGCTAAATATTAAGCAAAATATACAAATCTAATTGCTGCCCTAATTCCATTGTAATTCCCACTCTGGCTTCAATATGATTCAATGAGAAATCAGAACCTGACATACAGAAAACATTTTCATCATGAGAACAGTCAAATATTGGAACAAGTTGCCCAGAGAAATCCTGTCATCACCATTCCTAGAGGTTTTCAAGGTCTGACTGCACAAAGCCCTGAGCAACCTGGTTGGAATTCAGTGCCAACACTGATTTGAGCAGAAGGTTGGACTACACAACTTCCTGAGGTCTCTTTCTACCCAAATTATCCCATTATTCTTCAGAGAACCAAAGTGGAAATCACAGCAGAAAGTGGCATCTGCTAGAAGTTTGCAACGTATTACCAGAATATTAGTCATTCCCTAATGCTGAAGTCTCTTCTTTTAAAGGGAAAAAACCCAGTCCTTTGCCCACTTTTTAACAGTTTTCAGTACTTGTGAGCCCTGTTGGTTAATTCCATCTGACCTGCAAGCCAGGTTCAATATGTCTTTCCAGATTTTCCAATAATACATACAGGTAAGAGTTGCATTTTTTTTATATCTATCCATATTGCATAGAGACCAAAAACATAATATTCCAGTTATGCCTGGACTTAACTGCTATAAAGCCCCACATTTATGCTACTGATCAATGTGCTTAATCTAAGGCAAATACAAAAAAAATGCATTCCTACTTGTAAAAAAATTACACAAAGAAAGTAGTGCTTTCTGTTACTTTGAAAAAACCCAGTGCAGTTAAAATGTATTGATATAAACAAAGTTGCAGTTTTGTTTTCAGTGTCACTCCAAAACCTCCAAACCTTCTACTCAAAGACACCACTTTGATGCTTTGAATTAACCCCATTTGTCTGGGTGATGGATCCCACAAAGGTGTTTAGGAACTTCAGTGCTTCAAGTATGGGCCAGAAATTAACTTTTTATTACTTAGGTAATAAATTAGGTAATACCAAAAAAAAAGAATCAGCTCAAGTACTGTGGGGACAATCTAAAAACTGCTCTGTGTGTAAAAATGCTGCACAAAGAAAACAACACTAATTAATTTAACAACTTGCTCTACTCTGAAGCTTATCTCCTGTTCAAAAGTATAGTGTATTAAATACAATCACACAGTATTTAGTTAAACAACTGATAATCTGAATTGTGATCGATCTCAAACTACATTACATTCTTTTTACTCTCTAACGAGCCATTTATAGTCAGAAACACAATATAAAAAATTATGTAAAGGACCGAGTAACTCAAAAAGGATCCATTTTAGAGAGTATTTTCACCCAAAATTATTTGGAAAAACCTTCCCTATGCCAGAGCATCCCAGTGAAGAAAATCATTCAACACTTATGGAATGCAAAAATATGAAAAACACACACACGTATTTTGTGGCTGCCCCATCCATAGAAGTATCCAAGGTCAGGTTGGATGGGGCTTGGAGCAAACTGGTCTACTGGAAGGTGTCCCTGCCCATAGCAGGGGTGAAACTGGATGAGCTTTAAGGTCTCTCCCAATCCAAACCAATCTGTGATTCCATGATTTTAAACATGAGTGCACATAAAGTATAACTGCTGTGCTATCAAACCATTTATTTCAATGCCTCAGAACATCAAAAAAGTTAAACACAGGTAGGAAACCAAGGGTTCAATTTAAGAATTTTTCTGTTGAACTCCAAAGTGCATCAGAACTGATCATCGAATAAATGTGCTTTCAAAACAGAGCCTCGTGCAGCTGAACCTAGTAAAGATGGAAAGCACCATGTTGCCTTAAGAAAAAAAAACTTAAAAATTAGAAGATTTTGAAGGCTGTTCCGTCACACGCCAATTCTTCTAATAATTATATGCAAAATCAGTATGACAGGAATGGTTTGTTTTAATCACAGCAGTGCAGGACAGAGCCTAAAGGATCTAACATACATTGAAGAGATTTACCAGAAACCTCACTTAGAAATGTACCAATCAGAGACAATGTATTTATTCCTTTTTAGTAAAGCACCCAATCCACACAAGTGTTTTGGGTTTTCAGACTAATAGTATTACTAATCCCATCTTTTATAAAGCTCATCTATCAGATACACAAATGCATAAACTGAACACTTCCTTGAAAAACACAGTTAATCAATATATAAGTTAGAAATCCTTACCATATGCTGTGTGATTTGTGCAATTCATTGGTTCCTGTGTGCTATTGTCTATTTTAGGCTCATCACACATATATGTTCAGGTAATTGAGGAAAACATTTTTCATATCAAACACTACAACAGGTTTAACACTAATTTATTCCACCTTCCTTAAACCCTGAGGATTTAAAATGCACCTTGATGTTAGTTCCTACCCATGCCCCAAAACAGGAACAGCACATTACCATGCAGCAAATCTGCTAATCCAATTTAATACACCAATATATCGCATAAGCCCCACGTTTAATTAGTGCTGCAGTCAGCACTACCTAAAGGAACTACAATATTTATCAGTCATAGCCTCTGTATTTGAAGGCAAGAAGGTAGCACGTGGCTCATCTAGTCTTCTTCCCTTATTTAAACACCTTGAAATTGAGGCATTTGGTTGAGAAGATTAAATCTACAGGAACATACAAAATTCCAAGAACACATAAAAATGAACATCTGAAATGCCAGGAATTTGGTGCAGAAACAAACTGAGCAGGAACTGACTTCCAGAGGTTTCAACTCCCACAGCCAAGTAAAGCAGGAGCTGAAGCTAGCTTTTCCAAGATTTGCTTTCCTGACACTTTTGATCATCAATAACTGTCAGCTGCCATCCACCAACACGCTCTGGGGAGGGCCTGAGGCACCTTGGAGAGCAGAAGCCTTGCAGGTAGAGCCCAACACCTGTGCCCTGTAGGGCATAAAAGCAGAGTATCCTGAGTTAGAAGCAACACACAGGGATCATCGAGTCTAACTCCTGCTCTGCACAAGACCCCCAACAATCCCACCCTGTCCCTGAGAGCATTGTCCAAACACTCCTTGAGCTCTGTCAGCCTTCGTGCTGTGACCAGTGCTCTGGGGAGCCTGTTCAGTGCCCAACCACCCTCTGCGGGAAGAAACTTTTCCTAATAATAGGGTAAAGACTCCACGTCTCACTCCCGTGTCCTGCAGAAAATAAGAAGGTGGAGAGATGGGGGAGTGAGGTCTTTTATCCCATAGGATCTTCTCTTTGAAAATGGGAGAGACATCCCAAACCTGCCCTGAGGCACACAGAGAAACAGCCCTAAATCACAGAATCAATTAGGTTGGAAAAGACCTTTGAGACCACCGAGTCCAACCTGTGACCAAATACCACGTTAACCAAACCACGGCACAGAGTGACACATCCAGTCTTTTCTTAAACAGCTCCGGGGATGGTGACTCCACCACCTCCGTGGCAGCTCATTCCAATGTCTAATCACCCTTTCTGTGAAGAAATTCCTCCTGATGACCCCACTGAACTTTCCCTCGTGCCGCTTGAGGCCGTTTCCTCTCAGCCTGCACTCTGCGGTGCCTTGCCCCGCTCCGGCCAGCTCAGACCCCTCGGGGCTCCCACCCTGAGGTTTTCCAGGTACCCCATGGCCCTCACCGCCCCCTCCCCTCCAGCCGGGGCTCGGGACAAGCGGTGCCCTCCGCCTCACACCGGGCCCATCACCACGACCACCACCCCCCGCCCCGGCCCGGGCCCCGGCTCCGCTCAGGATATTGCCCCATCCGCAGCTCCTCGCACTTAAGCGACGGCTCCGAGCTCGCCGCTCCCTCTAGGGCTGCGAACCAGAGGAGAAGCAGCACCCGCACCTCAGCCGCGCTGCTCCGGGCGGCCATGACGGGACCGCCGCCGCCGCCGTCAGCTGACAGGGGAGGAGCGGAACGGCCCCGCCGCGGTGGGAGCCCGCGGTGGCTGCGGGGAGAAACAGGGAGTACGCCGGGGTGTTCGTGGGGTGCTAAGGGGGAAGGTTTGGGGTTTAGGTTTTTTTGGGGGGGTGATGTTGAGGGGCGTGGGATGACCTCATTAAATATGGCTGCTGAGGCAGCGCTGAGGGCAGAGCGCGCCCTTACCGAAGATGGCGCTCGGAGGGCCCAGTGGCGAGACGGGCGGGGCCGTGCCCTGAGTAAAGATGGCTGCGCCCACCGCCGCCATCTGCGCATGACTGCCCTCACTTAAAATGTCAAGCGTGAGGCGCCTGGCCCCGGGAGGGGTGGGGGTGATGGGGGACACTGAGGGGAGCCGTGGGGGTGATGGGGGACACAGAGGGGAGCCGTGAGCAACCACGGGGAGCCTCTCGGAGTCAGGCTGCGGCTGCTCCGGGTGATGGCACCGCGGGCAGGACGCACCCTGAACCGAGCGGAGGGTGGCGGGGCCGGGTGAGGGAAGAACGTGATATGAACCCTCCCTGCCCTTCTAAACACTGACTGGTGTTGGCCCACCTGGTGAAATCGAACCTGTGGGTGTTCCTGGTGGCGTCTGGAGTTTGCTGGATACTTTAAAATAAGTTTTAAAAGCCCAGGAGAGGTTAAAAGTGTGACCTGTCAGCACCTGCCAAACCAGGTTAACCTGGGCTGGCAGTCAGGTGGGTCTGATGTGCTGGCACTGTGTCCACCACACCCACAGCAGCCGGATTAAGGAAATTCTTTGAAATTGTTACTTTATCTTTGGATGAAACTATGCATTGTTAAAAACGCTTTTTATTTCTATTTTTCAAATGAATAATTAATGCCTGGAGCAGGCAAGCTTTTATCTTCATCAGCATGTGCTCTTTGTAAGATATTTGGTGGTGATTACATTTTTCTTTTCTCACTTTCTTAACAGCTGTTTAATGCTTTTCTAGTGTGGCTGTTTCAGGTTTTTCTAGTGTTTGAAGGAGTCAGTTTTTCACTGATGAACTACTGGGGATCCCAGGCTGTTTATAGGAGATGGAGAAATCATTTGGGGTAAACACACCAGGAAAGGCAGCATCACTGTCCTAAGTTCACATCAGCTCAAGAAGCGTTTCCTGAAAACTGGACCTAGAAAGCTGGAAAATCAACTCTGAGACGGTACTGATTAGAACATCATCATTACCTAGCCCTTCTGGAAGTCTTTTGGGTTTACTGGGGGTTACTTTGGTGAATGGTGACTTGTGTCTAGCATGTCAATACCAATGAAAGGTTTGTCCTGGTCCCAGATACTCAGAATCTGTAAAAGTGCGGATTTAAAACATGTGGATGGCTGACAAAGAGCCCAGCTAGCGATGTGAAATATTGCCATCTAACAGCTTTTTGGGAGATTTGTGTAAACTGAATTGGCAGCCTGGAGTTCAGCAGGCAAAGTATGCAAATGAAAATTGATACCCCTTTCAGCAACTGGAAGCGAAAGGCCAGGGCCAGAGCGCGCTCTGAGATGAACTCAGCCCTCGGAGATGGAGACAGAGGTGCACTGATGGGAAAAGTGCTCGGCTCTTCTGTCTGCAGCACGTCTCTCGGATGGATAAATACACCACTCGCTGTTCATCACTGTCAAGAAAATTGTCACTTCTCACGAGCGCCACATTAATTAAAACTGAGAGTCACGACTGGGAAGTTGGGCGTTTGGAGCTGGAATGTTTTAAAAAGGGGGATGAAATGGTGTGTTCTTAGCATGTTGCATGCTCTAGTGCAACTGCTGCTGCTTAGTAAAACAAAACAGGCACTAGAATGAAGGGAAATCGATGAGAAATTATTTTCCAAATCTGTAGCCCTTACCGTGTGCAATGAGCAGGGCTGTGTGAGATTAGCAAATGAGCTCATGAAACTGTGTAGCAGAATAAATATTATAATTTGGAGATTTTGATTATTTTACGTCTGCTTACGTATCTAATTTTTTTTAAATCAGAAAGCAGGCTAACAGATAGCCTATCAGGGATAGAAAGCACCTGCATTTCCCACAATTAACTTCCACGAAAATGGTGCCTGTTCAGTATTTTGTGACTAGTGGATGGAAAACTTTGCTTTTATTGCCATCCTGGGCATTGCACTGTTTCTTTGGAAGCTGCAGTGACGTGGTGTGTTTTGGGGTGCTGTTGGGAGCAGAGCTGGCTCGGTGCTCTGTGAGAGAAGTCTTGCAATCCCTTAACTCCATCCAAGTCCACGTTTTCCTATGTTTTTTGCCGTTCCCTTGTGTGAAGTGGTGGGGGGCTGCACTGCTGAGGCTGAGCACAGCTTGCCTAACATCTGTGGGGAGTGCAAAACAGCTCCGGAATCACGTTTGTGCACCGATTTACTGCAAAGGAGCGGAAAACAAGCTTTTCTACAATATTTACACTTGTTTTGCCTTCGCTGGGAAGGTCGGTGCCCATGTGACTACGTGTCAGAACCACGACTTATAAACACACTGGGAGGTCAGGATCACCTGGAAACTGATTAAAAAGTTAATTTCTGCTCCGCACTTCCCCGAGCGGCCAGGCCCCGTGTCCCGCTGGTGGGCTCAGCCCTGTCCCCTCCCCGTGCGCTGTCCCCGCACCGCCCGCGGGCCCGGCGGGGCCGGGAGGAGCCCATTCCCGGCCGTCCCTCGGGAGGCGGCTCTCCCGCCGCGCCGCCCCGGCTTCCTGCGCCGCAGGTGAGGCGGGATCGCCCCTCGCTTCCCGCTTCCGCCCAGGTGAGCGCCGGCGGCCATCCCGCCGCTCCCGGCATCCCGCCGCTCCCGGCCATCCCGCCATCCCGCCGCTCCCGGCCAGCGCCGCCGCCTCCCGCCCGCAGGTACCGCGGGAGCCCCGCCGGTGGGATGGGATGGGATGGGATGGGAGGGGGCACGTAGAGTAGGCTCTGCTGAAGGACTTAATTCCCCTTCGGACATGGTGGTGTAGGTTCTCGGATGAAATTATGTTTATAAATATCTAAATGGGGTTAAAAATATTGATATTTATCTGTAGTAAATGTTCCAACCTGCCAAAAGGATGGATCCCTCTGCTCGGGGATGCCCTGCAATAGGATAAGAGGCAACGGGCAGAAACTGATGCAGAGGAAGTTCCACCTGAACATGAGGAAGAACTTCTTTTCCTGTGCAGTGATAGAGCACTGGGACTACCTGGAGAGGGTGTGGAGTCTCTCTCACTGTAGACGCTCCAAAGCCATCTGGACACAATCTTGTGCTGTGTGCTCTGCGATGACCTTGCTTGAGCAGGGAAGTTGGACCAGATGGACCCACTGTGGTCCCTTCCAGCCTGAAACATTCCATGATTCTATGTTTCCAACCATCTCCCGCTTCCCCAGTGCCTGACCAATGTCTTGCTTTGGACACCACCGTGACCAGTATAGCCGTGGTCAGGATACCAACCTGCACTCACCCAAGAGACTCCCCACCTCAAAACACTTCAGGTTTCATGCACTGGAAGTTCTGGCATCATTCTAACGTCAAGACTGTGTTAGGGATGTGATAGAGCTGTGTGGCTCCCTGTGGATTCTGAAGGCTCTCTCAGGTGCTGGAGGCATCTTGGTGTTGTGTTGTTGTGCAAACAGTTTCCATTGCTTGGGAGAGGCTGGATCATGATGAGGAGAGAAGTAATGCACCCATTGCAACACTTCCCATCAGCGCTAGTCAATCCAGACATTCTTAACAAAGCAAGTTTTTGCTTTGTTTAGGAGTGATTAAAAGGCGTTCCTTATAAATTTTTGAAGCTTAGAAGCTCAGCATGGTTCCAGGTCTAACAGCTCTGTTTCACCATGAAGTGATTTATTAATCATGTACACTGCCATCATAGTAACTTTATTGGCAAATGTCAGTAGAATATCACAATGTTTAGCTTTAAAAACAAGCTTTCCGTGAGCTTTGTGAAAACAGGTTTTGAGACCATGTTATTGCTTCATGGAGAGCAGCTTTGGCATGAGCTCACCCTTCTATTAGACAACAGAGAACCCACACTGGCACTTCCCTAAGGGCTGAAGTCCGCAGGAATTCAGGTTCTGCTTGTTAAAAGTTAGCATGCCTGGAGAGTGAGTAAGGCTCCTCTTGATCTGCTTAGGGACTGCTAATCACAGGTGCAAAGTGTTGGGTTTTCTTTGCTTTCCTCATACTGTAGTCACTGGTCATATGTAAAAACAGGACTCGTGCAAGTTTCCCATGGGGTACTTTTTATTTTTAACAGTATTTGGGTTTGACCCACTGTACCCTGGAGATGTGTGGTGTATCTGTGTTCAGGTACTCGCAGCAGTGTTCATTTGTTTCTTTCTTTCAAATACCTGAAGCAGTCGGTGCTGCTCCACAGCATTTTTTATAAATCCTTCAGCATTGCACAGAGCAGCAGGTTCTGATGGTTTCATCAGAAAGCTGTAAGCATGCTATGCTTGGTTGGACTGAATTTTTCTGTAGATTACAAGGAGAACTGAGCATAACATGTAGGACAGCAAAATATAGGTTAGAATAGTGGTTTTTTCACAGCGTGTAGTTACTTGATGTCATGTAAACTATAATTTTGAATATCTGAAGTTACAGGTTAGGACAATTTAGGATTAAGATCACACTAACAAATCCTGTTTTCCCTTGCTTTTGTTTTTACTTTCATCAACTCTGAGACTGAAATTTTCCAAGTCAGAGGTCTCTCTGATGAGGAATACGATATGCAGCATATTAGTCACTCCTGATAACAGGGCCAGGAAAAATTCCAACTGCGTTAGTGCAGAAAGGTGACTTTGGATTGGGATGAACCCTTGGCTGTCGCCATGGCAGGCTGCTCAGGTTGGCTGTGTTAGAAGCCTTTAAAAAATAGGAGCAGTTAGTTAGCACTTTTGGATTTTAATGTACAAAAAGATTTCAGCCAGGCTGAATGGGGAGGAGACCATCCCATGAGGTGGGACTTTTCCTGGAACAATGCAGGTTGTCGGAGGTCAAGTTGAAGGATGTGGGACAAAAGTGGTTGTAGGTGGGTGGGGAGGAATGGGCAGAAGAATCTCTGCTGGCTAAACCATGTCCTCCTCCAGACCCCAGCAGCACACTCTTTCCCATCTTTCAGCAGCCCTTTGTGGAGGGCAGGTGTTTGTCATGGGATGTCATGTTCCCCTCTGACTCTGGGATGCTCCGAGGTCAGGTGCTCCATGTCTCCATGCAAGTGGCAGTGTCTGGAAGGGGGCTGATGGCAGTGGAAGACCTAAACCTTTCAGCTCTTCTGATGACCTGCTGGCATCAGCATGGGGGAGTTCCCTTTTCCTCAGTCTACTTTTGAAGAAGATCCAAGTCTTGCAATTTCATACAAAACCTTATGAAGCTTTCCTGCTCTCTCAGATGGGTTGAGTTCAGCTCTCAGAAGACATTGAAACTCAAAGTTCACGCTGTGCTGGAGTGTGGGGCTTGTCCTGGGGTTAGAAAACACTCAACTTTCTTAATTTCATCAATTTCTTGATGATTTTATGGCTATATTGGGAGCTGTGACATAAATGTTCAACTGAGGCTTGTACTTTTGTCTACCCATAAGATAAATAAGTGTCTGTAGAACTCAGACTGGAGCAGAGAAAGTTGAATGTCGGGTGAGTGAACTGATTTTAACAAGACAAACCTGAGTGTTTTGGATCATTCTTCAAATTTAACACCTAGGAATGGACTTTCTAATTTAGCAACTGTATGTTGACACTGTGCTCTGACCTAGGGTGTGTTTGGAAAATGTTTAATGATAACGTTTGGGCTCCCGAACATAAAGAGATCAATAATACATGGATTTGTGAGTTTCTGAGTTGCCAGAAAGCCAGTCTTAGAGACCTGTCCTCAACTATCCATTACTTGAAAACTCTAAATTAATTTATGTTTTCAGGGATCCCTTCACACCAGAAGGAGCTGTTTACTTTATTTTTTTTCCCCACTCTCTTTTTATGAAAGAAAGGAGAACAAAGAAATATCGAGGGTGGTTTTGATGTATTGCAGGAAAAAAAAATCATTAAAAAGCATTGCAAGCTGGCTGAAGGCCAATTTTGATCACAAGGAATCCCAAAGTGCTGTGTAAACTTGAACTGTAACATGAGGTCCACTTGGGCATCTACCAGCACGAGTGGCTCTTAGTGACACTTTGGAGCAGCTCAAGCTGAAACTTTCTTTAAATCTTTTTTCCCCTCCCCATTTTGCACCTCCTTCTCCAGGGAACTTCAGCCTCAGTGGAGCCTAGATCTCTCACTTATATTCTTCTCCTTAAATTTAAATCTCCAATTTCATTGGGTCTGTCTCCATTGTCATAACTGCTGTTGTTACACCCTCTGTAATAGGAAAAAGATTAATCTTGTGGAGGGCCAGGGTGGCACTTTGAGGCTGTTTTGGTGTGGGACGGGTGTTTCTCACGGTGCAGTTTGCTCGTGCTGCAAGGTGTGGGCACATCCCTGTCCCTTCTTGTCCTCCTCTGCCAGTGCTGGCAGCTCAGAGCTAGCTGGGAAGAAAACTCACCCTACCAAAACGTGAAGGATTTTTTCTGCATGTTTAGCTCTCTGTTCCAGCTCACTATGGGATCTGATGAATGGAGATGGAAAGGGAAGAATAAATGCATGAAAGAGGTCTGGGGAGCTGGACCAGCCTCTTGGCTTTGGCTCTTAGATGGGCATGGTGCTGTCGAGTTGTTGTTATTTCCTGCCATGCTGGATTTCTTTCCCGAGTTTAATCTTTTCTTCACCCCACTGCTGGTTTAAAGGTATTCCAGGCCACTTTTCCTCATACGAGTTATTTTCCATCCGTTTCTGATTTTGATTCGCTTGCTTTAGAGTTTTTTTTTCCCCCTCTTTTATTGGCTGGTGTGAGGCAGAAAAAGAGAAGGGAAGCAAACGGAGGGAAGTAAAACTCAGAAGAAAGAACAAATTTCCATATTCTTTGTCCTGTTTTGTTAAGGTTCATGCAGTATTTTTAGTCGAGGAGGTTAAGTTTTGTCTTTTTGGTTTAGATGAAGACTCAGGAGTGTGTAAGGAAACGGTGTTTTCATCTGTTCCTCAAAACCAAATCTCAGCACAGAATCAAAGGCTGCTGTGCTCTTAGAAGTGTTTTATTTTGAATGGAAAAGAAAATAAAGCTGCAGCACTTCCAAAAGTTCAAATGCATTCCTGAAAATCTTTCAGGGGTTGTATGGCTTTGCTGCTTCAACTCTTGCTATGAGTTTGATTTAAAATGACCTCCTAAATCTGTTAATAGTCTTGCAAAGCGACTGATTTTGCCTTGCCCTGGGTGGAAACCACACAAACCCACCGAGTTCTGCAGGAATTCCTTCAGGAGCCAAAACTGCTCAGATGTGCACAGCAAAGGGTGCATAAATCTAAAATTGTGATTTGTGACAAACCTCCCTCCACTTATTTTTTGATTAGGTAAATCAACTTAATATGACTCTGCAGAAGAGACACTGCTCACGTGCATAATTGATATTTCGTTAAATTTAACAGTGTCCTCCCAGAACTCCAGTTGTTTTCAGTGTGAGCACAGACAGTGTCAGAGACAGAGCTGAAAGGATCAGAGGTCCTGCTAGGAGAGAGCCCTTGGGATGTGCTTACCCTGGTGTCACATTTATCATATGACCCTTTATAGTCTTGGATTGCAAGATTAAAAAAGCAATATAAAGAGCTTTTTTTATAGAGATATATAGATATAGCTATTTTTGTACCAAGAAAAATCCAAATATATTATTCTGAAATTACACAGTTATAGACTGGATATAATTAAAATTATGTAAATTGTGCTGTTAAATGGCTGACTTCTTTCAGAGGAGCTTGTACTAAGTGAAGAAATCTTGTTCCTCATGTGTGTTTTGGTAGAGCTGCCTTGATAGATTTCAGAATGACAGGCTCCACATCAACTTAATAACATGCAAGCAAGGGTACAAATTTATCATCGCTGCTAATTGCAAGTCTGTTGTTTTTATACTGCCATCTAGGCCTCAGCCCCAGTTGGAGACCTGTTCTATTTGGCACTGTGGAGAAGCTTTATAAAGGATATTCTGCCCCTTAAAAGCTTGATAAAGGATATTTTGCTACTTAAAAGCTTGTCATGTACGTAGAAAAGAGAAAGGCAGTCTGCTGCAGGAGGAGAGAACAGGCTTCTATCACCTGTTTCCACCACTGAGGCTTACAACTGACCTTCCTTAGGAACATGTTAGAATAGGGATTAATTTGCCCAATTTGGGGCCTTAATTCTGTGCTGTTCCCATGAGTGGAGGAAGTGTCGTTGTTTTGTAAAGAAACACAATGTTTCACCTACATTGCCGTTCAGCAGGGCTGAGCTATCTTGAGAATATACTGTCTACAGATAACTAATCAGGTGTAAAAGTATCTTCCCAATAATAGGTAGATTTTAGCTCTGTGTCAATATTCAAAATAATTGGTTAAACATAACTATGTCTCGGTTTTCTTTTCTTTCCTTTTCAGTTTGTTTTTATAACCTGAATTTTTACTCATATTTGAAAGTTGTTCATATTCCTTTCTATGTGTGAAAGGAAAAGTACACAGAGCAAGGAAAAAATTTTAGACGTGCTGAGGTTACAGTGCTATTGGGTATGTTGAGAGCTTTGTTGAATACTTGGGGTAAACAACCGGGGGATTTTTTTTTTATTAAATTTGTTGTAAAATTAGCTTAGTATTTTATTATTGCATTTATCGTGTGTTACTATTCTGTTTGGGTATATAATTTATTAATTTGATTTATTTTTTTTTTTTGGTATCTCATCTAGGTTATTCTGAGGTTATTCCAAAAATACCCCTCAACATGCCTGAAAATCCTGCAGCAGGTATGTGGTCTGAAAGTGATTGCTTTTGTGGGGCAGTGAGTAAGGAAGCTCCATTCCTAACCCGGACTCCTTTATGGTGCAGATAAGCAGCAGGTGCTGCAGATCCTGGATCGTCTGCAAGCAAAACTGCATGAGAAAAGGGATTCCCAGCACCAGGAAAACCTGGCTGTTTTACGGAACACCCTCAGGAGCCCCTTGTTTAACCAGATACTGACTCTCCAGCAATCCATCAAGCAACTGAAGGAACAAGTGAGTGTAAAATTACAGTTGTTGGTGTGATGGTAACTATGGGCAGCATGGAACTTAAATCATGATGTGTAGGCGTGCGTTAACGAGGGCGCTCTCATTAATAAGCTGTAATGTGGTGTGAGTGAATGTTGGGCTTTTTTTCTTTTGTGAAGCTAGTATCAACAGTCACTGCTGAAATGAGAAGTGGTTTTGCAACAAACAGGTCAAGGGGCAACGTGCTTTGAAAGGAATGCTGGAGAAGCAGGTGTTGGGAACCACACCGATCGGAAAAAAGCATCTGAGAAAGACATCAGCTCCAGTACTTTGAGTTCTGGACAGTGTTGGACTGGGATCCTTTGTTTTTCACAGAAGCTAAATACGTTTATCAGCTCACTGGCAGCATCTTTCCTCCTTAAAAGACAAAACCACTTCAGTTCCTGCTAATTTGTACAAGAATGGTTAACCTGCTTTGGGAAAGAAAGTCTAGAAAACCCCTCCTGAAGATTTGCCAAGCTCTGATGCACACCTACCCAAGTAGTTTTAAAATTACTGGGCTTCAGCAGCGGTCAGAACTTGCGTAGTTTGGATTATAATGCCAGCTGACATTTAGATTTTGTGAACATGGGGCATCCATGACACATCTGCATGAACAGGTCTCACCCTGCAGTTAACTTAAAATCAGCAGCAAAAGCTCAAAGTCAGGGCCTGAGCAGTAGCAATCCCTGTCTCAGCTGCACCTTCCCAGCTGCAGATATAGCAGGGTGGTGTCAGGGGGACAAGGCCACCTTGCTGTCATTGCCAAATGTGTTGCACATGTTCCTCCCTGGGTGGCGTGGTGATGGCTGTGACATTCATTATCCCTTCTTGCCATATTCCCATACATTCTGCATCTCTTCCTTCCAGAGCTTGGATGCATGTCTGCATACTAATAAAAAATGTATAAGTATACAAATAAATTTGTGACTGGGACATAGTGGATGTTACATCCAGAGTGTTAGGAATTCTCATATCTAGAAAATTTAGATTTTCTTGAAATTCTTTTTAAGGATGGGCACTTCCATTAAGGATGGGATTTTCCTGTTTCTTATACCACACTTGGAATATTTCTGCATTTCTTCATTATCAGTCAGGACTAGAACTGCAAGTTCCAGCAGTGATAGCATGCTCAGCAGTAACTAGTTTGTACCCAAGGCACTCTCTGGGGAAGGGATAATACAGACCAGGCCTTGGGCTCCTGAGTGACTCTCAGAGTATTTGGATTTTTGTGCCAAAATTTTATACTGGTTTGCCTGACAATTGCAACAGTACTTGAGTGCCTCTTTAACGTTTGCTGCTTTTGCATGTGTTGTTTCTGGAATATCAGAGTGAAAAGAGGATAACGGGCATGGGCAGGGAAGACACGTGAAAGAAACAAAGAAAAAAGAGTGGAGTAGAAAAACAGCTGGAACACTTAGGGAACTTTCCTTCTGAAAAACAGTTTAAATTTGATATGGTAGCTTGGTTGTAGCTTACATTTTAACACTGCCTAATTTATACAGGTGAGTATATTTGTGTGAATAGGCATATATGAACATGGGTATACCTGTTTCTTTGGCAGTCTGCACACAAAATGGTGTATGTGGAAATCCCTTCTTTTGTTTTTTTTATAGTTTTCCCACATCTTTGTTCATTTTTAACAGCTCAATTACATGCCTCCTGACCGCTCAGTAGATTTTGATTTTACTAAGAGAGGGCTGCTCGTGTTTGCTGACAAATCAGTCACTGCTGGGACACCTTGCAGTTCACCTGGACCCAAAGCACCTCCCTTCACTCCAAACCTGGGAGTTAATGAATTTAACATGATCATCCAACAAATGGCAAAGGTAAGGCTCTCCAAACTTACTTTCCTTTTGGAGTACATTTTCACAATGCTTTTTTGTTGTGTATCTGGGAGCGTGGTGCTTCCTAACCAGTACAGAGTAGAAGTGTGCTGAGGAAAACCTTTTTCCCTGTGGAAGATAAAGTCAGCAATAAAAAGAAATGGTTTGGTGGCTTGTTTTGTTTTTTCCTTTCTTTGCCAATTTTTTTCAGTCTTGCTTCCTGCTGAATGCACCAACACAGTAAAGAAGTTTCAGTTTCCAGAAAATGCTTTCAGTATTTGATGACACTTAGTAGAAAATGGATGTTTTCAGCAGACACTTCTTTTGATAGAGAAACTTGTTTTATCAAGTATATTTTGAATTGGAAATGTGCCAACTTTGTTAATATATGAACAGTGTGAAGGATTAAAAGAACTAGCATGTAATATTTTATTGAACTCTTCATTTAGTTTGGCTTAACTTTGCCATGTGAATTGTAAAAACTTGTGATTTAAAACTGTACAAGTTCCATAAGAATTTGTACAGGTGCAGACATACATGCACGTGGGATTGGCATTTATACCACAGATGTATTGTTCTGTGTTACTTTGAACCATTAATTTAATTGGTTAGTCATGCCTTTCTGTATTAAGTAACTGTTGCTAATTGACTACCTTAATGTAGCTGTAATATTTTGAGCATAACTCTTCTCATTAGTATGTCGTTAACTCATCAGGTAAAAGATTTAGCAGTAAAGACTGCATGTTATTTTGGATAAAGCAGCTGTGATAGTAGTGCATTCTCTGAGGAATATTTCCCAGTAAACAACCCCAGAAATCTTGTATTAAAACTGACAAACAGGCAGTTGCAAAAGCAAACTTTTTTAGCATTAAGTGTGAAGTTGCAGGGATGGGAAGGAAATTAATTTCTCTATTTAAAAAATACAGTCTTTTGAATGCACACCTAAAATTAAGCATTAAAAGCAAGGGGAGCCAAAAGACAAGTAATTTAGTTTAGCTATACAGCATTTCCAGAAATCCCAAATATATTGCTCTAGACAGCACTTCTTTCATAGTTCTCATCCAGTTTGGAATTCATCTCATAATGTGAATGAAGTGTGAAAGCAGCTCTTAAATTCCCTGAGGTTTCAGAACCTCTAAGTTCTTGCATATCCAATACATTGCTATATTAAAAATAATAAATGGAGGAGCTTTTATAGAAATAACATATTTTGTATTTTGCCTTTCTTTAGTGTTAGGAGGAGAATTATTCTTCCAGTGTTCATAAATTTTACACTAGCTCATTCTATTGCATTAAAAATTAGTAAATAATTTTATTTTCTATTTTATTAGGGAAGACAAATAGAATCAATAAAGATCGATAAACCTTCTGTTGGAGGTCTCGGATTTAGTGTGGTTGCCCTTAAAAATCCCAGCTCGGGAGAAGTTGGTATCTTTGTCAAGGAAGTCCAGCCAGGAAGCATAGCTGACAGGTGAGATCTTTATAATTGTGTTGGAAAATTGTATTTTCCATGAAGGGAAAAGTCACGACATTCACATTGAAAACTCCATCAGAATAACATGTTTGTCTGGGTTATCTGGTGGGATATTTTGGTGGTGGTATCTTGAATTCTGGCATTTCAACTGAAGGGACTCATGTTTTGAGGATCAGATTTTCAGATGAGTTTTAAATATCTGAGCGATTCATAAATGGAATTTCCAGAAGTCATGACTCACTTTAGAGAATCTTGAGAACTGATTAAAAAAACAAAAGAAAACTCAGAAAAGAATACAAGAAAAATAAAAATTAGATTCCTTTTTAATTTTTATGCGTTGTGTCCCTGAAAGATTCCCCCCCTGTTCCTTTATTTATGTACCACTGACAATGCCCTATTTATAGCTGGTTTTACTGTTAGTTTCCTGTGTAAATTTAGATCCACTTCTCCCGACAGATCCCTGCACAGATGTCATCATAGAATCAAGGCTTCAGGCAGTTTCTTCCTGTATTGTCTGTGGGTTTTCACCCAACAACAAAAGGCAGAGCAATCCTTTAAAAATAAAATGTGATTGTAAAACCACAAGAGTTGGCATGAGACAAATGCAGTGCTCGGAATTATGTTTCAAGAAAATGTGTCTAGATTTCAAGTCATTGGTGTCACTTTTTAAATAACACATGTCAGGAAGTGCCAACACAGGATGACAAAAAGAGTGGGGAGAGGTTGGAATGATAATGGCGATGGGCCCACAGAGAACACACCAGAGAACACTTAAAGAAAAGCATATTAAGGCTCTTTCAAAGTGGAGACAGATGGACTGATCCGGATGTCAAAAGGAGGGTGAATATCTCACTTTAGGATTTGATGACCTGCTGCTCACTTCCTTTGATGAGAGAATCTAAAATATGGTTCGTGCTCGAAGAAAGTGATTTCTGGGAAACATTTTAAACATGGCATGATAAAAAGGAAGTTTAAAATGCCTTAGTTAAGATGTGCAGTTACATTGTTTGGGAGTTTATAAATTTCCCCAGCATGCTTCCCATTTTGCTTCTGAGACAAGATCTCCTGGAGATTTTTTTTGGATTCCTACAGAGCTTTGAAGGCAGTGTCTGTCTATGTAACAGTTTGGTCTCGTGCTCAGAATGAATATTTAATAAAGGAGATGAGTGATGGTTTCTCTCTTGTCACAAATCTAAATTCATCACTGGGATGAATTAACTGTGAAATTTATATTATCTCAAGGTAGCAACTGAACTGTGTATTGTTCGAAGAAAGTTTCTTGTATGAAGCTTGATACTATAAATTTTAAGTAAATTATAAGTATGCAGCTCATTGATTTTTAGATTAAATAATGATAAAAACAATATCAAAGCCTGAGTTGTGGATACTTAAAAATAGTAGCATGTAGTGCTAAACACGATGAAGAAGAGTTCCTAGTTTATCGTGTAACTACAAAAATAATTTTTTCTGCTTTGTAGTTCAGTATTAACAAGAAAGGATGAAGGAATTTCAATTACATTTTGAGTAGAAGCAAAATAAAAAATTGAAGAGAGTTTTGTACCATGATAAAGCTGGAGCAAAATGTGTCTGAGCAGTGCAGTTTACAGTGTGGATTGCATGTAGCTTGGAATTTGGTGAAGACATCCTAATAAGTGGATTTTTAAAATATATAAACATTTACCCTTGCACAACTGTGTATTTTGCATGTTCATATTTAAACTACACGAGCCTGATATGAAGTCACTGTGGTGCATTAAAAAATTGCTTTCAATGTTTTGTTAAGGGATCAAAGACTGAAGGAAAATGACCACATACTGGCCATTAATTGCACCCCATTGGATCAGAACATTTCCCATCAGCACGCCATTGCCCTCCTCCAGCAATCCACGGGGTCCCTGCATCTGGTCGTGGCCAGGGAGCCAGTTCAAGGGAACAGCAGAACTTCAGCTGTCTTATTAAGTGATGTAAATCCACCTGAGACTGTGAGTTGTTGTAATACTGTCAAAATCAGATTTTGAACTGTGCTGGATATTTTGTTCACGTCTCTAAGTGTTTGTGTTAGCAAGTTTTACACGCAGGGATTTTTTGCTTTAATCAGGTTTTGTATGTGATGACATTTCATTTAGACTCACCGTGCAGTAAGTGTGAGGCTTCCATTGCAAAGCTGCATGGAGCTGTTATAAAATAGATCCTGGGTTTTTATGGGATAGCAGAAGCTTTAATAGATCAACATATTCTTAGCAGCAGGGTCTGTTCAGCATAGGCTGGGTAAAGCAATTTTACGAGTATACCCAGCTGAAACCTACTTGGGCTCAGCAATTAAAGATGCTCTGATTACATCTTAAAAGAGAGTAAACATAACCTGTCATGAACACTGTTTGAAATACCCCAACCAATTTAAACTTACACTGCTCAAACCAAAAAGCCTTGTCTTGTTTGAAAAAACAAACAGAAATTACCTGTAAAGTACCTCTCAGTCACTATTTATCAGGGTTTTATTTTATCTGCAAATTTCGTTAATTGTGAGCTCGTTTTGTTTTCCTGACAAAGGAGAGCTTGTCACTGGAACTGGCAATAAATAAGGGCTGAACTTCCATCTGTGTTCTACCCATATGGCCCATGTGGACCAAATTCCACAGAATTTGGTCAAACTGCACATCTAAATTCAGGGATTGCAATATTGGAATCTTAATTTATTATGCTAGTAGATTTTGATGGAAATCTGGGTAAAAGCAGTGCTTTTCCTTATTCTCAGTAATTATTTCCCTCATGATTATTACAGAGGTAGTGAAATCTGAAGGCTTTAGTGGATAATCAATATTGTTTATTGCACTGAAAATTTTAAAGAATTAAACTTTAACTACTTTTTCAATGAAAGATCTGCACTGAACAGACTAACAAAATAAAATACAAATATATATCTCTACAGGGGGTCCTTAAACTTCTTTTATGATATTTAACTGGCCCTGGCAAAGATTTTCAGTATGCTAATAAATCCTTTATTCACAGAAGACTTAAATCTGCCTACTCTGCTCCATTTTGGTTTCTATGAGATATTAATCTGACAGAAACATTGGCTGGGTTTGTGTTGCTTAACAGCTTTGTTATTTTCTGATTGTCTTGTAGAACATAAGGTCATGGTACAGTGTAGCTTGGAAAATTTGCTTCCAATTCAGTATGGCAGAATACTGTGCTGTGCTATTAATTCAGTCCTGGTGGTGTTTAGAGTAAGTGGAATAACAGAAATAAGAATTTGGGCAAGGCTAAGTGAAAACTAGGCCAGTGCAAGCTCCTTGCCCCTGTTTTTCCCTCTTGTTTGTAGTGTTCTTGATTTATGAAAAACTGAAAGGATAGTTTTCATTTTGGCAGGAAAATCTCAAAATTGCTTTTTCCTAGTCAAACTTTTTCCTAGTATCCTGTTATCCTGAAAGTGAAGGACAAAGTGTGTGTTTAAAAACAGATGATAAATCCCACTGCCTATTCATAAGGAAATGGAGCTGAGTTTACAAAATCCCACAGATCTCCAGTATGTGGGGTAGAGACAGAAAATTGCTCTGATTAATTCTTGTCATTCACGTGAAAGTGAGAAACATTAATGATCGACTCAAATTAAAATCTCCTGGTTTTATTAATTGCAGATTCACTGGGGCCACATTGAAGACGTTGAGCTGATTAACGATGGTTCGGGATTAGGCTTTGGAATTGTAGGAGGAAAGTCAAGTGGAGTAGTTGTAAGAACGATTGTTCCTGGGGGATTAGCAGATCGGGTAATTTGTTATATTATGTCACTTCTTGTTTGATTGTAAAGTATAATTAACTGGTTTTGACAGTCTTAAAATAAACTAATATATTTAAACAAAAGGAAGCTGATAGCATCAAAGTCTGAATGCCAACATATACTTCATAAATAAGTATGTTGAAGGTATGATTGAGGAGAAAGTCAGCACCTGATATAAATTAAGTTGTTTCTCAGACATGCTTTGGCTTTTGTAACATTGTTGAACATGCCAAAATTCTGAGAAGTTGCCCGATATTTTCAATACTTTTTATATTTTCAGCTTTTGGTCAACCTGAGGGAGGACAAATACACTGTAGAAATTGGCACATTTGGCAACATCTATAGGGACAAACTCTCCAAATGAATTGTCAGGCAAGAGGATCTGTCCTATTGAAGTCATTGCATTACAAAATTCTGTTTAGAGATTGAAAATGTCCTGGGTTTAGTGGATTTAATTTCCAAGGGGTTTTGATCCCTGCCTTGCAGTCTGACCAGTTCAAAGAGACACTTAGGTTTGATGCAAAGCCATTTGAAGCACCTGGTTCTTTTTTAAGTTGTACAGGTACAGTTTGCAACCTTTGGTTGCTCATCTTTAAAGACTTGGTGCTGTGTTGCTGCATTTAAGAGTAGAACACTTGCAATAACAAAACAAATTTGGATTTTTTAAGTTAATTTAATCATAGTGAGTCACAATATCTGAGGACTGAAACCCATACATACAAAGAGAGAGGCTAAGGTACTTCCTTTAGTATAGGATAGAAATAAAAACTAGAAATTTGAAGAGCTTTACTGGAAAATGTTGGCTTTTGCTTGACTGTATCACCCTGAACCTGTTGTGTATAAATGAGTATTTCTTAATTATTGTCAAACACCTGTTTTGCTGTAAGGAATAAAGTGTTTTGGCTACCAGTGAAGCATGTAAGTTAAGAACTTACCACATCATTCTCAACTGAATGAGGACATCATTAAGAACATGTGAAATAATGATGCATATACATGTTAAAATTGGATGAGTTTGTAAATGAGTTTGAGCTGGTTCTGGGAATAACTCTGTGATTGCTGTATAAATCAATGCACTGAAGCTGGTGGAGCTGTGCTGATCAATACTAGCTGAGGATTTGGTCCTAGGAATGCTTGCTTATAGTAGAAATTATGATATAGGTCATGAATCATAATTATCAGGTAAAAATGGTCTGTGTATAGTCTTGTTACCTCCAGTGGATTTACTCACTCAAGTTGGAGTTAGTCATATGAGAGAAGAATTGTCAGGCTAATACAGAAGAACTAGGAAAAAATCTAAAAAGTCCTAGATCAAAATGCTGTGCTTTCATTCTAGCCCCTGTCCTGTGAGGATTGTTCTATGAAACAGCAATACATGACAATTTGTGAGATTATAAAACATTGTTGCTCTCTGTTTTCTCCTAAATGAGCAAAACAGTGGAAAAAAACAGCTCATGATTGTGCAAACGAGTCCTTGAATTATTTAGTATGTTGCCATGGTGGTCGGTTTGCTGGTGTTTTCTCACGTTGTTCTCATGGCCATGAAGATGCTCATAAAGTTTCAGTTTTGTAATGGAACAGATATTTTATGTATAGCCTGGAAACATTTTTTCCAATTTTATTTGTATTTGAAGGATGGGAGGCTCCGAACAGGAGATCACATCCTACAGATTGGAGGGACCAATGTGCAAGGAATGACCAGTGAGCAAGTTGCCCAAGTGCTGAGAAACTGTGGGAATTCTGTTAGGATGATCGTTGCAAGGGACCCCAAGTGTGAAGTCATGGAGGCTCCACCAGCTCCTGTGAGCTGGCCAGTCAGCACATTACCTTCCCTTCAAAATGGAAATGTAAGTACCTGCTGCTCCCTTACAACATTTTTAAGTATATTTGTGGCTTGTGATCAGAAAGGAAGGAGAGAACAGAGTGTTCTTGAGACCTAAAGTACTTCTCTCTTGAGTTTCCAGGTATCATGTGCTTGTATTTAAGTGGTCATTATTATAGCCCTGCCTTCTATAATTTTTCCCTTTTTCCTGTATGTTATTAATACCTATAATCTTGGGATTGGAATGACCAGCTTTACAGAATTTATTTCAGAGTGGGTAATTTAATTACCAAGACCATAAACATTATCGATAAGTGGTACTTTTAGTTCTCCTTAGCTCATTAAATTTTTGCTAATCAATCATTTGTAAGTGGATTTAAAACTGGACTCTGAATTTCCCTACTCTGAAATCCAGAGCGCCACGGCCACACCAGAATTATTCAGCACAATCATCTTTTTATGAAACATAAGTGTAATGTTTTCATAGTCTACGCTACTGTCTGTGATGGAAATATATCTAAAAATTTTGAAACTTGTTTTAGCAAATCTTATCATGGTCATATCAAAGTCTCTTGTTTTTGAAGTCATTCTTTTCAGTTTTGAGTAATTAAAATCAACAAATGCTACACTAAGTGTACAGTAGGTCTCGAAACATAAACAAAGCTGTGCTTGTGTACCATCTGCTGCTACTGTGCTGCTTAGATTTAGGTGTAGAATCTGAGTAGCCTTTTCTTTCTTGTTTAGTTTCTTGAATGTGAGTGAAGAGAGCTAATTTTTTTTAAGCACCGTTTTTAAAGGTCAGAGTAGAAGTCATATTACTATAAATGCACCTTCTTGCTTGCTGGGCAGCCCGTAGCTTTGTGTCTTGCATTTCTGGAAAACTGAAGCTGCCAGTTGAGTATTGTGGGTCTTTCTCAAGCTCCTCTTCTCCCAAGAGGGGTCGGTGTAGTGTGAAATCTGAGTGGGAGAGAGATGGGAGGAGGGGATTTTTGTACGTAAGGTTGGAATCTTAAAGGTGGCTTTGTCCAATACTCTGACAAAAGGCTTTCCAAGAGAATCAGCCTTGTTACGAGGCATTTCTTTTCTGACTGGATCATATTTTCCAAGGCCCATATTAGGGAAAAAATAACATGGTCCTAGTTTTGTTTCCTCTACAAAGTACTATTTTTCTCTCTTCGTGTTGTCACCAATCATCCCCAAGCACTGTAGATGCTGCAACCTTTCTACAATGTTATTTCTTCTGGATGTATTTTCAGTGTCCTCCTTATGCATCCTATGTAGTCTAGAGGGGAAAAAATAGTTTTGCAATTTTATCTACTTCTTTTTGAGTGTCATCTCTTGTTTTCTGAACTAAATAGTGCCTTCCTATGTAGATTTGAAGAAACTCCTTTTCCTGGTGTTGGGAGAGATTTGCTGGAGACAAGAATAGTGGCTAAACTGAATGTATTTATTAATTTAATGTTGATTTCAATGATTCACCTTTCCATTTTTGTCTGATTTACAATAGAAATTTTCTCTCTAATTTCTCTCTGATTTCTGAGTACTTTCACTAGCTGTGAGCTATGGAATAGAAAATATTTTCCTTTTTTTTGCACACTAGCACAAAGGCATTTTTAATAGATCGTTGGTTATTTTCAGTTTTATATTAATATTTGATTTTCTTTAAATTTCCTTTAGTAGAAAATAACTGAGGCTACTTACGTCTGTGCATGGGCCAAGAAAACAGACTTCTATCTGTACTCTTCTAGATACTGACAGCAATGTTAGCAGCCTACTTGAGCTGACTGTACTTAGGACTTTGCACTTTGATTTTTCCAGACTTCCTTTTAATGTTTTGCATTAGAGCACTGGCTCTGAGGAGCTTTTGATTGTCAAAACAGCAGGACTCTCAAGGCCATAGCTCCATTTCAGGTGTTTCTATAGGCTTGTCTACTCTATAGATAAGTGACGGGCATCAAAACTTATCTTCATCTCTATCAGCCTCTTACAGGAGTAAGGGAGTTGGGAGGCATTTAATGAGCTTAATGACTGTGCTAGTGGAGGGAGGTGTGTGTGATAACGAGATAGCTGTCCATCGATTTCTCTTTCACTGAAAAGTGGAATATGGCTATAACTCCGCCCTGCTTTTAATATGGGTCTGTCCAAAGCTGATACTTGACAAGCATTTGATTAAACTTATCTTTTTCACTCCCTTAAGAAATGTTTTCCAGTTTTTCAGTCTGTTTTTTGCTGTTGGCAGTGACAGTATCCCCTCTTGATTTCATCACTTTAGCAGACGTTACTCTCATCATCTTCTTTTTGATCTCATTGGGCTGTACATTCAGTAGTAATCTGATTACTGAAAACAAACAACTCTATGTATTTTAATTTATCCCTTGCAATCCCAGATTTACGTGCTTGATTGTTTTTCTCTTTGGTCTCACCAGTGTCTTTACTGTTCCCTGTTTGAAGTCTTGTCTTGCAGTTTAGATTTTTACTGGTCAGAGGGGAATTGCACAGACATTCTGAGGCAGCTTTGTAGGGACTTTACAAATGAATTTACATTGCATTTACAAAGGAATACTCTCCCTTCCTCTGATAGGTCTTAAAAATGATTTTACCTGAGTGCAAAATAATGAGGGTTTTACTTCCCATTTCCATGGACAACCTGGAGGCTTCTGGTTCTCCTTTGCAGCTTGATGGTGCTCAAACCTGAGCAGGATCATAGCAAACATCAGGAGTCACATTTTAAAGGGAGAGAGAAATTCTGAGGGCATTCAGAGTTTTTGTTATCTTGAGGGATTGATTGGGAAATTTGTTGTTACCAAGTGGAATCCAAAGGGAAATGGCCCCTGAGGAGTCTGATGAAAACCTTTCAATAAAGTGTTTATATTATACCTCTGACAGGTATGTGGAGAAGGTATTGGGAAAGAATTTAAAAAGCAAACAAAGACTTTGGTGACACTTTATTTTCAGCAAATCTTGGTTATGTCTCTCTTACAATTCCTCCTAAAATAGGAAAATCAATATCACTGCTCACTTCTGAAGATTTTAATTAACCTGCAATATTGTAATGGTACTGGGAAATTACAATTTTTTTTTAAACTGTGTTGTGCTTTATTTATAGGATAATATCAACCTTTTTGATACCTATGATGTTGAACTTGTAAAAAAGAATGGGCAAAGCCTGGGAATAACAATTGTTGGATATGCTGGCACGTGTGATGTAGGTGAGTTCTACAGAATGTAGTAAGTCTAGGACAGGGGCTTCTCAAATATGGGGAAAATGGATAGCTCCTACCTTTGCTAGGATATGGGGACATGAAATCAGCTGTTTTTTTCCACTAAATCCTCTTTAAATTAGAGCTGTTCACTTGTCTTTCAGATACTGGTTGCACAAATGGTAATATCTTTAAAATTGACCCAACTGAATGTCTGGTTTTACACAAAGGGGTAGTGCTTTTTATTCCTCTCCTTCCTTGTGGGAGTCAAGGAAGTATTTTGGGAACATGGTGCAGCTGGGGTTGCTCTCAAACGCTCTCTGTTCCCAGGAGATCCTCTTGTGTTGCCAGGCAGGAATCCCAGGCCAGTGCAGGGGGCCAGAGAGGGGCACATGCCAGGCAGTGGGAAAAGCTGAATTTGAAGCACTGGTGGAGAGGTTTTGTTGAGCATGGACAAACCATGTTGGGCAGATGTCTGAGTAAGGTCAGTGTCCAGAAAAGGATGGATGAAGTGTGAAGATTCGCTAGAATTAAAGATTAGCATTTCCTATTTAGCTTGAGTTTGTGGAAGTGTTAGTGTTCCAGGGTTTTTTACTGTTTGTTTTGGGTTTATTTCCTTGTTCTAATTAGAATTAATAATCAAACGTCAGGCATGACAAAGGACGGCTTTTCTGATTTCCATGTTTCTCTTTTTTTTTTTTTTAAAAAGAAAAATCCTTCTTCATTAAGATTTAAATACTAAATTCTTTGGCTGTAAGATGATTGAAGTCCTGATCAAAGTCCTTAAGCACGTACTTTACTTTTAGCTTAGTTAGTCCTATTGAAATCAAATGCAGCATGGATTTAAGTGATTGTGGTTTAAAGCCTGGGTAAGCACAAGGATGAATCCGTGGAGGAGGCAGCCTTTTGTGAGCCATTTTAAGGGAAGAATTTTGAGGTCAGTGTACAGGTGGTTGTGTAAGTGCTGGTTTTTCTACCAGAGATCCTCAGTCATTTTGTTTCAAGTTGTGTGAGTGGTAACATTGGTGCTTTACAGAAAATATTGGTACTTTACAGAATCACCCCTTTATGGACAGAAGAAAGTATGTGAAAAGGGCTGGAATTAAAAATATCAATCAGAAAAGAAACAATTAGGTTAATGCAGTGACTTCTTTCTGTCTTCCCCAACAGAACCTTCAGGGATTTTTGTGAAAAATATAATACCTGGTAGTGCTGCTGACCACAATGGCCAAATTCATGTCCATGACAAAATTGTTGCTGTAAGTAAAATACTCTTCTTACATACTGCTGTAGAACTAGTACATTACATTACACATCTTCACTGCTAAAAGAACAACGTAGTAGAGACTTCCAAAAATTAATTAAACCTCCTCTGCTTTGAAGAAGAAATAATTTGGTGGTTTGTATTTGTTTAGGTAGATTTGTGACAGAAATGAGCTTTGGCTTGCTGTGGTTAAAGTATCATTTTATATTCAAAGAAGTAGTAAATAGTAGTTAAATATGAAAGAGGCAGGCATTTGGATTAAAGTGTTTCAGAGTGGAGAATCTTGGCTTTTGGCCTGCAGTATAGATGAGCAGCATTAACTTCCAATTGAATTGCATGTGATTTGAGGATGGTTAAGATTTTGCAAGATGTGGCACGTTGTTTGTGGTCCTTAATGGCTGTGGAGTGTGGATGCAATCAAAATGTTAATGGTCACAAATTAGGTTTAAAATCCCAAGCTTTATGTGTAGAAAAATAGGGAAAAAAGTTGAATAACAGTGAATTGAATAATAGCCAATTTTGCATTCACAGTACAAACAGGAATGAATTATACAGTCTTTTTGTTTTAAGAGATAATATTTATGGAGATATGAGTTTAAATTACTTATAAAGTATGTGCTATGCCAGACCTTCTAAAGTCAGCTTCTCCTTTGTGAGAGCAAAAATTGATACAACATTTTATCTTCAGGAAAAGCTCCTATTGATGCATGATCTAACAGTCAGGTGAACAGAGTATTTTGGGTGTAAATTAAAATACCTGAAAATGTAAGAATTGGGCTGTTCAGAATGGATTGAATGAACAGATGTGTATATAGACTTGTGTGGGGCATGTTAGAAATCTGTGGGAAAACTAACAGTGATAATGAACTGAACAGAGTTCCAAGCTGACTGCTCTGCTGGGGAGCTTCAATCCACAATCCTTGTCAAGCTGGTTTTTGTAAACAAAAAAACCAGGAAAATCTGTGCATACGTGTATCAGATTAGTAAATTCTGTTTTGTGGTTGCCCCATGAAGACAAGAAATTACTGTTTTGTTTCCTTTTAAAATGCATTTTGAAAATATTATCTCATTAGTAAAATGTAACTGATTTAATGAGATTGTTTTGCAAATACTGCTGTCTTGGGAGAATAACCCTATAATTCCTGCACAAAATAATATGGCTGATGCTTACAGTGCGTGGTGCTACCTACATAACCTAAGAATGGAACACAATTGCTATTATTTGATACAATTTTCTTGTTTTAGGTTGATGGAATTAATATCCAGGATTATACCAACCAAGAAGTGGTAGAGGTATTGAGGAACACAGGACAGACTGTACGTCTTACTTTACTTAGAAGGAAACCTTCCTCTACTATTTCTTCAGAAAGACCCTCAGATAGAGGTAATCCTTTTTTTTTTTCCTTTTTTCTAGCAACTGATTTTATTTTTCACTCAATTTACAGTTACCTCATTTAACAGTTTAGGACTAGATACCACATGATCCTAGATTTTGTAAAAGCACGCTGTAGAAAATGAGATACTTAAGAAGAAATGGAAAGACACAAAAATAAGAAATTCAGGAAAATTGAGTGCAAAACTCCTGTGTAGCTACCCTTTCCTCCCCTAGAATTAATGAGTTAGGGTTACTACTTCCTATATTTTGCAGCATATGATTTGTTTTTTCTTTCATTTGTTCTCACAGTGCAGCCAACTGTTCCAATGTTTGTGTCCCCTGGAGCTGTAGGGACTGAAATTAGTGTGGACACTAAGAATGAGGGAAAACAAGAACAGAAGGATAATCTTCAAAGTGAAAAGCAGCAGACTCTACATAAAGCAGGTAGACAGGATATCTTGCAGTGTCTTTTCTGAGCCTTGGAACTGTTTTTAATTAATTTTCAATACTGATGGACTGTCAATGCTTATTCCGTCTTCAGCTTTTGCCTTGTAATGGTGTTTATTCAGTTCCCTCAGAAGTAAAACTCTACCTGTGCATCTATCAACGCTCCCACCCCACCCTGTCCCCAGAATGTGCATTCTGTGTCATCATGGGGATCACTGTGAAGATACTGGATCACATCAACCCCTGCAGATATTCACCTCTGCTTATAACTGGCTGCCAAGCCCTTCATTAATGCTGTCTTTGATCCCTGTGCTCCATCTGGTTTTCAGATTATTTAACCTGTGTTTCCTCAGTTTCCAAATAGGAATGCTGATGTAAATGGTGTCAAAAGCTTCAGTAAAGATGAAGTGTGTTATGCCTTCATCCACATTGCTGTCTTGCAGTCGTATTGGTCACTTATTTGACAAATCTATACTGACTGTTCCTGGTTTGTCTTCTTTTCATTTATGTCTTTGGAAGTGGATTCCAAGAAGTATCTCATGATCTTGGGGCCTATAAGTCTCTGGATCTTCCTCTTGCATAAAATTTGCCCTTTTCCAGTCAATAGTAATCCCCTTTGTTTTGGGAGGGTTTTTTTAAGGTTATAGACAGTGGAGGTGCAGCCCTTTCAGTATTTTGGAATGGATCTCATAGACTCTATAGAGTTCAGTGACTCTCCAGCTCAGTGATTCCTCTTTCTAGTTCTGATCTTACTCTGATGACCTGAGGTGTCCTGCCAGCAGTCTTCCGAGAGAGATTTGTTCATCCTCCTCTGCTGTCAGGGCCCTGAACCACAATGCTGGGTGAGCAGCATGAGGAGATGGAACTCCTGAGAGTTCATATTTATTTCCTGATCCAGTGTTATCTCACTCATATCCATCTTAAAAATTGGACTCAATGATCTTAGAAGTCTTTTCCAACCTGATTTATTCTGAGATCTTCTTGCCCTCACGGGCCTTAGACTCCTGCAGAATATTTTCACAATATTCTTCTGGTTTCCTATACAACATCCTTAATGCCAATTTGTTGCGGTTTCCTCTTTTGGCACTGCAGTAACTTCATCAGAACTTGTGTCTTAGGCATAAAGACCCTATAGCTGGAGTTCAGACTAGGCATGTTTTTAACAGCAAAGGCAAATGGAGAGTGGGGGCAGGTCACAAAGACATGGATTGCTTTGGGTTTTAGCTGACTTTGGAATCAAGGTTGGAGGTCTTTCCAGAAGGCATGCTTCAATTCCCCTGCAGATTTCTGGGCTCTTCTACAGGAACTTTTGGGTGAATTTATACAGCTTGTGTTGAAGTCAGCATAAATTATCCTTATGCCTTGTAGTTTCTAAAATATGTAGATGTAATAGAGGATTCTAAATTACGGCTGTCAATGAATAACAATTTTGCTATGATTGTTGAAGATCTGTCAGTATTAAAGACAACCTGGAAACGAGAGAAATGTAGCAGTTCCTATATTCCATTCTGTTTTACTTTTCTGTCCAAGCCTTGTAACCAGACATCCTTTGTTGTGACTTTTGCATGTTCCCAGAAATAGGAAGCCAGAACAGAGGCGGATGAGTAGCTGAGAGTTGAGGTTATCAAAGCATTGTTTTAGCTGTATGAATAGGAAAACACATACTGATTTTTAGTTACAATGGACTGATAACTTCAGGGCTGAGTAGTAGGATGTATTTAGGGGCAGAAGAGCCAAAAGGATTTAGACTTGCTGTGGCAGAGGCTGGAAAAGAGCAACACATGCTGTCCTGTATCACTTACCTAGTATTTTTTTACTCTGGAACTTCCTATGAATAAAGTATTTTCTTTTTCTACTGAAGTGAACAATATCTCTGTAATCAGCTCCTGGCCACTGGTGGTTGGGTTATCACAGGCTGTGGGTGTCTGTTCTGATGCAAAGAGAACTCTCTGAGGGATTTGTTACCCAATATCTTGTGCTGTGCAAATACGGTGTATCAGTGCTGGGATCAGCTTACGCTGGAAACTAAAATTTTTTTTTACCTGGCTTGAAGGTAACAAACTCTGTAGTCTCGAGGTGTGTTGGACACATAGTGGTTCCTTGCAGGGGCAGCGTGGTAGAGCTGCATTTCATTTCCTAGAGCATGATGTAGCAACTATACTCGGAGATTATCCTATTCTCCCATGTATCCGAGCTCCTCTTACCTTGTAGAATTCAGGATGATGTGTTTGTGTGCAGTGTGTCTTGGAATACCAGAATTTAAACAGTGAAGATGTTGTTTGTAGTTGGATACAGCCCCTGATGCCATCAGCTGTGCTTGTGCTCCGTGGCCAGCAGGAAAATGCCACGGGCAAGGCTTTGGAACTGAGTAATGAATCAGGAGAATTCAGTGCAATGGGAAGCAAGTCCCATTGCTCAATTAAGCTGTGGTTTTCACTCTGAAAAACTTTCAGGTACAATGTTTTGCAAAAGCTTTATGCAATTGTAAAGGGCATGTGTCTCTGTTAAAAAGTTGAAACATTTAAGTTGCAAATTTTAGTCCTGCAGAAATACGATGTATAAGATTTCACCTCAGAATAGAATTTAATGACCAAGTTTCAATTCCAAAGATAGGTGCTTATTTTGGACGTGGTGATGGGCACTTCATTATAATGGTGCTAAAGTAAATACTGCTAATTTAAGGCTCTGACTAAACTCTGGAAATGCTTTTAGAAGTTTAATGTAAAAGGTATGTTTTATAAAATGCGTATTACTTCCCTCAAGCCCAGTTGTGTGAAATTCTTATTAAATTATGTTTCCTGGGGAGGTATTAAATAGTAATTCTGACCAGGTAAAACCATGCTTAAGCCATTCTGTTACAAAGGCAATATGGTTTAGGATGCAACATGCACGAGGCCTGAAACTCTGTGCTAGCAGCATAGAAGCAATTAACTCAATTAACAGGGCTGCAGACTGGGCAGAACTGCTTTCTCTTGCCTTGCAGGAGTACTTGGAACCTGGATACACAATGATGTGAGTCAGGAGCTTGAAGGTATCGGGAAAAAGATCCAGCAGTAGGGCAGGTAAAGATAGGGCATTAGTAAGTTTGTCAAACCATGAGGAAATTACAAGAAGAAAATATCCCAATTTTCACCAGAAAATATTATTTTTGCCATGCATTTTTGGTTTATTCTTGATGCTTGCTAATTAGAAATGAAAGACTGTATGGAAGTGCAGGCAGGACAGACTAAATACACTGAAAACTGCTAATGAAAGCTGTCCCTGGGAAGTGGTGGTGTGGTTTTGTTTTCTGAGGCCTTGCACATTTTAAGAAGACATGGTACATATGTCAGGTCATGAGAAATTCAGCTGGATGAGAGACTAGAAAGAAACTTCCTATTAGCTGCCATGTGGAAAAAGCTGTTTGGGGAAAATGGAACATTGTAAGTGAATTGAGTGATACCATTGGAATTGAATATATTCAATCCAAATCCCTTCAGCTAACATTTCCACAGTTCTGAGGAAGTTATGAGCAAAGACTTCAAAGTGTGTTTGAAAGAAAGAAAGAAAAGGGAAAACTTCAAATGAAGACGTGCATCAGCACCTGCTCTGAACAACTCATAGATTTTGGTAATGTGTTTTGGAAGTGACAAAAAAATCTGTATTCAGCCAGCTGAACACAGCTTACCCTGTGAACTTTGAGCTTGACCCTGAGATTCATTACTCCTGGTGAACCTTAAAATCTATATTTGGCTGCACTGGGGATTGCAGGTGCTTAGGTCCTGTGTGTTCACGCTGTTGTAACTTTGTAATAGCAGAAAGACACACTAAGGAATTTTTGTCCCTATGTATTTCTGCAAATAGAAACAGTGGAAGAATGCACTGGTGTTCTGGTTTTGCTACAGTTGGGAAGGAAAGATAGTGATCAACCTGTGCTTGATAACAAGGCTCACATTAGAAACTTTAATAATTTGCAATGAGGGAAAGAATTTCAGGACAATTTGCCTGCCTTTTTTTTTTAAGGAGATAACTTATTTCAGAGAGAATTGTGGCCTGTACTTACAAACTCAAGTTTTTAATCATGGTGGGGTGACTGTTTGGTAGCAGAAAATAGCTATCGGCTTTGCTGGAATTCTGGAATATCTCTATCTCTTTGAGCCTATAGGTTAAAGATGCTCTTGATATTTCCAAGTGAAATCTCAGTTGCTGGGCTCTGAGGAATGTGGTTTCTCAGTGCAGATCACACAGAATTTACCCCTCTGGCATGACTGAAAGTGAGCAGAAGAGATACAGTGATAGGTTCTGTTGTTGTAGAAGTTAACTTATATCTTTATTTTTAATGAGTGGAAAGCATCAAATTTATAAAATGAAGTAGTGAGGATTGTATAGCAAGGCTTTGTCTTTGCTGTGTACAAAGGTGTTGAAAGCAGAGGCAGCTTGGCATGTCATTTGTGTGGGCTTTTGCTGGTAGACTTCAAACTTCCCCCCTTGAGGTGTTTTACTCAGTGGTTTGTGTGTAAAATGTGAGCTTGTGATTTACATTCCAAATTTCAGTGTGACACATCAGCAATACTGAGTGGTCTGTGCCTTGTCTAGACATCTGACAAACTACTGCAGTCATTCAGGGGGGAAAAAAACCAGATTTTGGTAATTCAGCCCCCAGTTGCTGCTGCTGTAGCTGCTGGATGGAATTTGCTGTGGAGTTTGATTCTTACCAGTTACACATTGCTCTGGCCTGGAACTTTATATGTGAGCTGAGCTTCTGGATGAGGTCAAACGCAGGGCAGCCAGTCATTTTCTGCTGTCTAGCTCTGTCAAATTGTCTTACATGACTGTAATACTGCCTTGGTTGCATAAGTAAGAAAGCTGAAAAGATATAAATGTCAAGATAGCCAAGTTCCCACGGAAGACTGGTTTAGAACTGGAGCTTATATTAAAGCTCATGTTACTTACTGGCCTAATTAAAGTAGACAAGCCTTTATACCTGCCAAATGTATAAATAAAGTCTGTGCCTGCATTGTGCTGACACAGCCCCTCGATAACAGCAATATCTTGTCAGGTGTTTTACTTCTTAAAGGGGTTCATTTGGGTGGGAGATGATGTTTCCCTGGAGTGGCAAAGGGTTTTTGTAGCAGCAAATTATGAAGTCGTGTGAAATTTGTTTTTGCAGCCTGAAAGAATGATTTATTTACAGTACTGTATGGTACAGAACTCACATCTCGTCATCAAGCATCACCTCTTCTGCTTCTCAGCTGAATAAATCACACGTTAGCAGGAGCTGACATTTTGCATTGTTTTCCTAAGAAAGACATTTTTGATTTGTACTGTTTGATAGACTCAGCTTAATGCACTTTCCTTTTGGGGATTATTCCCTCTAATCTTTTACTTACACTGAATTTTTATTGAAGTATTTAGAAGTAAATGTACTTCTGAATGTACGAAATGCTTGTAAATTTAATACTCACTTTCATATTTAGGAAGAGTCCCACTCCCTCCAGCACATGAACTAAAATCCAAGTGGGAAAACCTGCTGGGACCAGAATACGAAGTTATGGTATGTTATATTTCAATAAACTACATCATGAATGTTATTTCTTTAAATTACAGATCTGTGAGCTTAGTATTACAGGCTGTTTATGAACAGTTTAGTGTTTGGAACAGATCAGTTACATCAAATTTTCTTTCCTGTGACATCAAGGTTGTAATATATGTTATAATGAGTTAGGGGTTTTGTTGTTCTTTTATTTGATTTTGTTTATATAGATACTGTTCTTATACTACACAGGAACAGTAATTTAAGAAAATCAACTGTCCTTTTAAATCTACATCATAGCAGCCACTTAAAATATGTGGCATTTTTATTATTTCATTCATGATCTATTTGTTCTGTTGTGCACTGGGAAAAGAAAGGCTCAGGATAGAGCTCCTGTTTTCACAAGAATCTTACAGTTTTATCTGAAGAATGAAAGAATGATTTTCAAACATGCTGGGAAAATAGGAAATTATTCTCAGTAGTGTAACTTTGTGGTGCCAGTGACTATTAGGTATTTCTTCACTTTGTATTAAACAATTGCCAAGCAAAAGATTGTTTTGATGAATTGTCATGAGGAGTTGATGGAAATTGTAATTCACTTTTGCTTTTCAGTGCTGGGTGAGCCAGTAAGTAGAGATAAAAGACTTCAGCCAGTGTTCTTCCCGAAGCTTTAAAAAATTCTCACCACCACCAAGAAAATGCCCTGTTTGTCTTTGCAATGCTTGTCCAGTTGATTTAGAGACACTTATTTTTACTACTTGGAGTAGCCATCGTTCCAGTCACTCGCTGGAAGATTTAAAGTAGCTTTAAGAATTGCCTTGAGAAACTCGCTTCTCTTCTTTTCCATTAGCACTCCTTTAAGATCTGAGGTTCGTGTAAGATTATGTACATGATGCAATAAATCTGTTTGGCTGCCCACTTCAGCTGCTTGGTATTCCCATCCTTACATTTCAAGAGGCTGGTATTACTTCCCTTAGCACCATCACACTTCCCACAGAGGACGAAAACCTGCTTAGCTAGTGAAACAGGCCATTTCTAATTCTTCTTCGGCTGCTGCCAGTGAAATGTCGGAAGTGAAAATGGTAATGACTGGGCCTTTTAAATAACAGAAGGAAACTCTTGTGGCACCCCATTTTGAAAGTCGTCACGTGATTCTTGTTTCCTGTACCTACCTCTGCTCTGGCTTGGTTGTGTTCAATAACAACATTCAGTTTGATTTCAGCCTGTGACACACTGGCCCCTGTGTCACACCATTTTCACTCCTACACGCAGCTCCCAGAAACTCACCCTAAAGGTGCCTACAGTATTCTCTCAGAGAATTTATTTTCAGAGGAAATAGATGTTTGAAGAGAGGGTTTGGTGCCCCTCATGACTTCTATGTTGCTGATCCTTTGTGGTAGCAATGGAAGGAACTGAAATCCTGGGCAAGGATGTGTGACCGGGCAGTGTTTGTGGCCAGGTACTGCATGAGCAGTCAAACTGAGGAGGTATCAGTCATAGATTCATTTAATTACAACTGGATAGACATGAATTGGATTCTGTCTGTTGGGAAAAACAACCTATATACTGGAAAACAAGATGCTGGAAGCCCTATTTAAAATTAATCCAAAAGAAAAATCTGAGGCTTAGTATTGTTTCATAGATACTTTGTCAAACTAGTTATTTCCAAAGGAAAATAATTATATTTATAAAATAAAATAAATAATTTTTTGTAAGGTTATGTATTTTCCAGGTCTAATAAGTGTAACTTTCCTGCCAAATGTTCTCCACTTCAGTGTCCCAAACTCCAACCCTGGGCCATAGGTTGGAACTAGATGATCTGTAGTGTCCCTTCCAACCCAAACCATTCTATGATTTTGCATCATCTTAGTGCATTCAAAATTGGAGTAAATAACATTTTAAGATTACTGATAACTCAGTTGTGTTAAGGAAGACCATCACAAGAAAACTGGTGGTGAACATAGTTATTTTATTCATATTAAAAAGAATGAAAATATACTGAAGGGATTTCCTGGCACTGTTTTAAATAATCCACTTTACAGTCAAATTTGGTAATTAAACTCATGTATTTCAAGCCATGTTAGAAACATGCTGCAAAAGATGGTGGGTTAGTCTAGATGTTAGATGGCTGCGGTATAGCCTGAGGTAATAACTTAAGCTGTAGTACTTTCAAATTCTGATTGGCAAGTCCATTTGGGTATTTGTATCAAACATAATGGCATTTTGTGCTTACACAGGATTACTGAACTTGACTAAAATTGGCATTTGGGCTTCGGGAATAGGATAATACTGGAGTCTGCTATTGGTGCATAATTACTACGTTCCTACTTGTAAATGTTCTGTGCCTGAAAGATTTTTCTAACATTTGTTTAAAATTATTTTACATCCGTGTGACTTTGTTTAAGGATAGTTTATTTTGCTCACGAGTTTTTTTTTGCCAGAATTCATGGTTCTGATAAAGTCTTTATTGTCCTGTTATTGAAAAATGTTCTGATGTCCAATTTTTAGGTTGTGAATGTGGATATGCCCATTACAGATGATTCAGAGCTCCAGAAGTACTCAAAGGTATGACTTACACGGTAGTTTCCTTCATGGCATATGTTGGCAGAGTAATCCTAGAAGGACATGACACAATTCCAGATACATTTCAGGAATTTGGTGGGTTTGTGGCTCTTATATTTTCCGAAAAAGGCTGCCAATATTCTGCTTGTCTTCTGGACTGATCCAATACCTTTTCTTAACATGGGCAAATGAACTTTTTAGTACAACCTCCCCCGCCCCCCTTCAGTACAGTTCAAATTGCCTTTGCCCCCGAAGAGCAGACTGGTTGTTTTTATTTGTGCAAACAGTTTGTAGAAGAGAAGTTATAGACACTTGAGCAGTAGTGCCAGCAGTGTCACCATGAAGACTTAATCATCTTACTGTGTGTTTAGTTCAGTTTGGTGAGGTCCTGAATCCTAAATGTGTTTAAATTGTGGTAGATAAGATTTGTACTTTATATATATATATATATATATATATTTCTCTTTTGGCAGCTATTACCCATCCACACTTTGAGATTAGGTGTTGAGCTTGACACGTTTGATGGACATCATTATATATCATCAATTGCTTCAGATGGTTCAGCTGCAACACTCGGTCTTCTGCAACTGGAGGATGAACTTCTGGAGGTAAAAAACAAAACAGGAACCCGCCCCAAAATAGAACCTGATGTATTTCCTGTTTGCTTGGCCTTCTTCAAAATGCTTGTATTAAATTCTAGTTTGGCTCTGTGTGTGCAATAGGAGTATTCCAGAGTTAGTTGTGGAAGCAGAATAGTGCTTTGGAATTCATATTAATTTTCTTTCTTGTTTCCTTCCTCCTTTCTGGACAAAATATCAGATTTTTGTGACCTCTTACTGACTTCATGTGAGGTTTTTTTTCTGGAATGTTTTAACACGAGTATCAAGAATTATAAGGGTGCAGATAATATTTGTGTTGAATTATTTGTAGTCCTGTAGCTCAATCATTTGCACAATTTGGCGCTAACTTTGTGGTGGATAACCTTTCTGAATATTTGTCGCTCCTTAAAAATTTACAACAGTCTTAGGAATAGTGGTTCCAGTTACACATTATAACTTGCTCACTGAGTGTTGAAACACATTTGTGTGTATGAGCAAGTACATCAGTTTGTTTAAATATGTATAAAGAAGTATTGGGGCAATTTTAAATTTATGGGAATCACACCAGACCTATTTGCTCAGGTAAAATAATTATTTGAAAATATTAAAATAATACCTATTTTGTGTGTGTGTGTGTATATGTGTATCTACCAGTATCCCAGCCTGCAAGAGAAAAGACATTAATATCCTATCGAATACCTGCTCTTTGTGGAATATTTGAACCTTTGTGGGATATTTGAACCTTTTTTAGTGGATGCAAAGAACATTTAATGGGTACAGAATTAGGCCTTTGGAAAGATTGATTTGTTAGGTGTACAACTATTTTGCTTTTATTTATTCACCTTTTAACATCAAAAATTCATACTGATATCACTAAGACCTAAAACATTTTCTTATGGCTTAATGGAGGAAATCTTGATTCCTGAAGGAAAGGATTAATGGAATGCTGGAAGTGTCATTTAAATTCCCTGGCCAGCAAACAAAAAATTATATACAAAAAGCAATAATGCAGTGCTGTAGAGTAACTTGGGAAACTTTAATTGCGTATATTTAAGAGTTTTACGTATTACTGTGTACTTACAATTAAGTTCACAGGTATGTCCAGACCTAGTGAGCATAAATTATTTTCTACTCTGTAGCTGGAAAAAAAACCCCAACAAAATAAAAATGTGCTCCGGGGCCAAAGCTTTATGTGCCAGGTTTAGCCCAGAGTATGTTTTTGCAGCCAAGTTATAAATCCCCTTAAGTAGGAGTTTGCAGTGGAAAAAGTGACAGCCCCATTCCCCAAACAATTAGCCCTACCTGGCCCTGATAGAGTTGGGATTAAAATATGATCAGCAAGGAATTTTTTTTTAATATATAGTGGGGTTGAATGTTGATTATTTTTAATGATGTGTTTGAATTATGACAGGAAGCATGATATTCCTCCCCTGACCTTAATTTTAGGTAATTTCATTGTGTTCCATTTTAGGAGTAAAGGCTTTGTGTCCTTCTGGTTTTGTTGTAAAATTTCACTCCTATTTGATGGCACAAGTCACTGGAGTGGGGTGGTGAGTGAATGGATGTAGGGCGCCTTGCCTGCTTAGAGGCTGATTTCTGGCAGTTGCCACAGCAGAAATGGGAGTCCCCATGTCTGCTGGGGAGTGCAGGGTAGCTCTTCCCCATCAGTCACAGGATGCTGAGAAGTGCTGGTAACTTTCCACCACACACTGCCACTCTCAATGCATTAAAAAATCCTTACGCGTAGATCCTTCTTCTTAAATAATTAACTAATGGATTAGTCTGATAGCTCAGCACTTGCTGTAATTCTTACAGAAAAAACCCAGAGCAGTTCGTCTTACCATGGTGGGGGCCGGTTACGCCACTCTCAGTTTTTCTCCTTGCCTTGGATATAGTGTGAGAAGACCTTTGTGTTTCCCAGCAGTATAAACTAAATTTACACTGCAAAAAGCACAAAGTGGGGGAGAAAAATAGAGGTGATGAGGAGGAAAATGTTGGCTAAAGTGAGCTTTCTGTGTAGCCTTGCAGAAGATTGAATCCTTCTAAACAGCAAGATCTGAGATGTGTATGGAGAGGCTCTGCCTCATTGTACAGAGGTGTGCACATGTATGTTGCATGTTTTCATGCTCTATTTTCTGGGATCAGATGTGGGTTTGTCTGCAGTTTGGGTGTGGAGGGAAGTATTGAAGAGTATCTTCGATTATCCCCGATTACTGTGCTTTGGTTCCTGTGGAGTGACTTGGATGATGTGTGCTGGATTTCCACCTAAACCAGTGGTTGCACTCCAGCAACTTTGGACATTTGGTCATGAGAGCAGACTTGAGGCAACCTGAAAAAGATCCCTGAAACACAAGAGATGTCAGGATTGAATCCATAGCACTAATTAAATGAAATTCCTGCTCCTTTGGGGCAGCAGTGCTGGTCAAGATAGATGATGTTCCCATCATTGACACCTACTAACATCCTGCTTTTCTTGTGTTTGGGGATACCCCTGTGGTCCAAACAGGTGTACCCTCAGGATATTGCATGTTATTTTCCTGAGGAAGTAGAATCACAGAATGGTTTGGGTTGAAGGGGACCTTAAAGATCACCTACTTAGACCCCTGCCATGGGCAAGGACACCTTTCACTAGATCAGGTTGCTCCAAGCCCTGTCCAACCTGGCCTTCAACACTTACAGGGATGGGGCAGCCACAGCTTCTCTGGTCAAAAAAGTACAATTGCAGTATCCCATTTTTAAAGCAGCATTATCTATCTGTCTAATCTATCTATCTTTTTTTTTTTCTGTCTGTGGTTTAAAACATCCATTAACAGTGGCCTTACGGTCTTCTGTTGTCACTCAGGATCTCAAGCTTATCGGGTAGTAAGTTTTGAACCTTGTCACGGTTTTCTGATTAATTACTTACTGCAGTTGTTTTCTTTTTTTCTATATAAATATCCCTGCATGTTTTCTGTAGGATCTGTTTTAGTTTCAACCACTTTGTTACATTTTAAACTGGCAAGGTTAGAATCATAGAGTCATTGGGGTTGGAACACCTCTAAGGTCATCAAGGCCAACTGTTAAACTAGTTGTGCTAGTTCTGACTTAATTTTTTTGATTAGAGCTCAGAACCTGTGTTTTCTTAAAATATGATAGAAAAGTTAACTTCTTTTCTTTTTAAATTCAAACGCTTAAGCCTATTGCTAAAAAAAATTCTCCAACAAAGAAACAGATGAGAAAGAAAGAAGAATTCCAGGAAAAATTTAGGCTAGGAAAAAATAGAATCATAGAGTATGCTGAGTTGGAAAGGACCCATCATGATCATCGAGTCCAACTCCTGGCCCTGCAGAGAAAAGAAGTCTGAGGAAGCTGAAGAGACATGATGTAGCAGTCAGAAGTTACAAGATCTTCCAGATGAAGTATTATAATTATGTATATATTCTTCAGAAGTTAATAAAACTCTGTAAGCTGTGCCAGAATCCCTAGGTAAAATTAGACTTTCACACTCAAATGGGCAAAGAAATAGGGGGGAAAAAAAGCCCTAAATAAAAGAATCTGGTTGATATCCTTTAATTCTCTTGCGTTTCCCTTCTGTATAGGTAAACGGAGTCCAACTGTATGGAAAATCCCGGCGGGAGGCAGTCACTTTCCTCAAGGAAGTGCCACCCCCATTTACACTGGTTTGCTGTCGGCGACTCTTTGATGATGGCACTGAGTCACTTGTGGATGAGCCCACCGTGGGAGTTTCCCTTCCAGAACAAAAGGTAGACTTCTCCTGTCATTCAGTTGTGAAAAGGGACAATAACTTTTTGCAAAAGTGCATATATTCCTGAGTTTATACAGGTTGGTCATGAGAAACTTCATTGTTCTATAAAGACAAGGTAGGTAATTCATGGAGCTGCACTGCTGACTCTGTACATCCCATTCATCATTCCTACACTTAATAGGTGAGTGAGAGCTTTGAATTATACTAAATCACATCCTTGCCACCATTAGCTGATTGCTTTCATGTTCTGAGTAGGTTTATAGAACTGGAAAAAAAAAAGAAACTTAATGTTTCTTTCCGTCATGGAAGCTTTAAAGTCTCAAAAGAAAGCTTGACACTTGTGGTTGTTCCTATTTGCAAAAGTGTTTACAGCTTGGCTTCTCATCTTTTCTGATAGTCTGGCCTTTCTATTAGCTGTCTGTGGTTAAATCTTTTATGCTATTTATTTTTCCTTTATGCATCTAATGGGACAGCTGAAGTTCATCAACATGTAACAGGTTAGTAATATTATAACAATTAATTAATTAGACTAATAAATGCGTGTTTGTGTGCCAGGTTGGGCTCTGATGCTCAAAACATGGTCCCAGGGGAGTACTCAAGGCAGCAAGCTGGAGAAAACTATATTCATAATGTTTAATGAAGTTTAAATTCCATAAAAGGTCATGTTTTAGGGCATGTATGCACCATTAATAATCAAAATATAGAAGGAATAATGTTTTTAAAGAACTGAAAGAATGATGTTTTAACTAGAGCTTTTATTTTCCAGGTGAAACCTGAGGAAGACTCTAACCCTGAGGAGGAAGAAGGAGAATTAGCATTATGGTCTCCTGATGTGAAGGTTATTGAACTGGAGAAAGACAAAAATGGTTTAGGATTCAGCATTTTAGACTATCAGGTATACTTTTCTATATAACTAAAATTCCTTTGGTCCTTTTTCTTGTCGCCTTAAAATGTTTTGTAATGTTGATTCCTGGGTAATTGACTTGGCACTTGGGACTAGAAGCTATAGGGAAAAGTAGTTTATTTTGAGGCCAACTCTATGAAGAATAGAGTGTTCTAAATCAGTCTGATTGTTGGATGTGATAGAGTGCAAAATCTTTAATCAAACTCCACCTTATAACCCTGAGTTTAATGACTAAATGTTGGAGGAGGTTAGTTCTTGTTGCATTTTGTTTAACTTGGAATGACTTTTCAACTATGAGAGTGGCAAGTGAACATTCTGGGACGTTGGAGCATCAGTTTGTATATACCAAATGTAAAGAGTCTTCTGCTCTTTCTACCCTCAGTACCACAAATCTCCTTTCATTTATAAATGGAATAAAGACCCTTGCTGGTCTGGGAACTTTGGTATCACTCAAGTCACAAATATTCACTCTTTGAGTCAAGCCCTGAGAAGTAGAGTTTGCAGAAGGAGCCTTACCAGGACTGTCCTTCACAGTCCAAAGGGAATGTCAGGGCTGACAGGTGAATCAGTGTTGCAAACTCAAGTTTCTGCAGACACAAAATTGCTTTAATACATTTATATTATTTGTTAGGTGGGGTTGATTTTATCCTTAATTGTTTAACTCCTTAGAAATCAACAGTCTTTAACTGGGGAAAAAGTCTACTAAAATTAATGAATCCTTCTTTCAAAAACATTGACTTCAATTAAATATATAGGAACTCTCAAAATCTGTAGTTAAAATGAAATGTTCTTTGTGTTTCTAGTCAATGTGATATATTTTTTTAAACTTCTAGTCATCATATTTATAAGGAAATAGAATAGCTGGATCAGTCTTTATAATAATATACACATCACATCTGAGTGCTGCCTAAACATTGTAGTTTAATGAAATGTGTTCAACTGTTGTGCATAAATGTCAAGTGATATAAAATTCACTTTTTGATACAATAAGGCATGAATTGGGAATGAATTAGAAGAAAAAATATTTGAAGTATTATGCAAAACCATTATTTCTATATTTTACTAGTGTGATTTAAGATTACTGAAAATAGATCCTGTTAGTCATTTTCGCTGACACATGTTGTGTTGCAGTGCCAGCTTTACTGTAGAGTTGCTGGGAGTCTTTACAGAGCAGTAATACACAGATTTGCTTTTAAGTTCTCATATAATCAGAATTAATGAAGGCTTTAATAGCAGGCTTTTTATTTACTTATTCGCAGATGCAAATACATGAGCAATGTTGTGGTACTTTCAGCTAAATTTAAATACATTCTAATCAATTCTAAATGAGTGGTAAACCACTTAATCTCAGATCTTTATAATTTCAAGATATTTATGTATAAAGTATGCTCTTTTGTTTGGGATTTGCCTCTTAGATCTTTTACACTTTTCATCATCTGCAGATTAATTTTTATAGAGAGATATCTGTGACTGTGTGTGTGTGTGTTGATGTAAATACATCCATCACATCCTTGAGTGCAAGGCAAAGAAAATAAATAATTGTCCATGCTACATTGGAGGCAAGAAGAAAAAAACTGTATGTGGTTCCTGGAAGAGTGTTTGGAATTCTTAAAGCAGATTTGCTGAGAAGCACAGAATTACAGCAGAGTCTTTAACTGTGGCTTGAAGGACCTGGAGACCTTTCTTTAAAAAATGAAAGGTGTTGTTTTAGGCACATACTCTTTGTTTTACTGGAGAAAATTCAAACCTTATAATGGCAAATGATACTTGCATATACTTGCACTATATATCCACTTTGCTCCTTATGAGCAATATGATTTTTAATTTTTTTTAGATTTTTATTAAGAGAAGATGGATCTTCTCATGCCCTGGCTTCATCATCAGTGAGACCAGCCTTGCTAGGCTCCCGTTAGTGAGGGGAGGAAAATCCTTTTTAAGAGGAGATTTTGAGCAGAAGGCCTGTTTCTGGTCCTGGTAGTTACACACACAAGGACTGACTCCCCATCCATTACAGAAATTTAAGGAAAGTTTGATGTTACATACCGGACTGGGAGGTGATGTGACTCTATCCCAGGTTTTTAAGATCAAATTACTTCTATAGCTGTTAGTTGACATGGCACTTCAGAAGTATTGGAAGGACTTCAGAAAGATCAATAAGAAGAGTGGAGTGACATGAGAGTTAAGAAATGGTGAGGCACTAATATTGTCCCCCTTCAAAATGACGCTGCAGCAATTAGAGACCAGGGTGGTTCCAGTGCTCTGGAAGTTTCTTCCTACTGCTTTCCATTCACGTTTGGTACTTGTTTTGAAGCACAAGGCTTTTTACCTTTCCGTCTCAGTTTGGATTATAGAATTAGATGTGGTGCTGAATGCTCTCGTGGCATAGAATTTATACTATTTGTCATTTTGTTTCTCAAAACTGGCTGCATGCTCAGCATAAAGGATGTTGTGCCTCAGTTGTCCTAAATGCGGCACTTCCCAAGTCACGCTCTGGGAAACAGAATTAATAAAAACTCTTTGTGAAGTAGAACAGGAATCTGAGTGCGTAGAAAACTGAATGCTGAGATCGAGAAAATTATTACTCTGGCATATTAATTTTTAATGGGCTGTCTTTCTAATAATGTTTCATCTATCAAATAAATGATAAGCATATCCCAAGTGACTTGCAGGATATTCCCAGAAATGTACAAGCATAATTCCAATGCCTATATAGTTTAATGAACTAATTACAAATTAATTATACCAATTATGCATAATCAATACTATTTCTACTTTGTCCTGTGTTTTCTTTTGTCTGTCTTTAGGGATTTAAAGGCTTCAAACAGCCACCTTCTTTTTTTTTTAATAAGGTTTGTGCACACATTCCTAAAACTTTGGGGTACCAGCAGAAAATAGAGTTATCCCCTTTGCTATATCAGGACTGTATTTATATAGGAAATTCTTCATCTTCCTGTGGTCACTGTATAAAAGCAAAACCTATTTCCCCTTCTGAATGTCCTAATTTGGAATTACATGGTAGGAAATCTAAGATCTTTGAAAGCTGCTGTCCTGGCAGCAAGGTCAATACTTGGTGAGAGGGGAGGTGGATGAGAAGGCTGGTCCTGTGTATTCTTGAAATGATGTGTTTCACTGGATTTCTTTTCCTTCCAGTGTGATGGTTGTTTAAATAAGAAACACGGAAGAGGTCTTAAAATGAAATCTTCTGTGTATTTGTCTTTTGTCATCACTGTCTTGGGATCTTGTCAGATCTCTTAGGCTAGGCATTGCTTTTTCTTGATGATGCTTAGATGAGATGCCTGCAGAGGGCTTTTAGCCATAAAAAGGTGTCCTGTTCAGTCTTCTGGCCAACTTCTCTATGAAGTAATATACCCTACCTCCCTAATTTCCTTGTAATTTCATTTGGAGAAGTTGCTCTCCTTTCACCTCTTAACTAACTTTTATGTAGTGTTGCTGGCACAGTTAACGGCAAGTTTTGATGGTGAATGAGGGACCCAGTGTTTGGGATCATCTGGGATGCAACGGGCTGTGTATTTATTGTTCTATTGTATTTATTTGTTCAGTGTATTTATTGTTCTTTGTCAACAGACCTGAAAGTATCCAGCTGAACAGTAGTTCTGTCTAGCCTAGAATTAGTCATAGAACCATGGAATCACAGAATGGTTTGGGTTGGAAGGGACTTCAGTGCTTATCCAGTTCCAACCCCCTCCCATGGGCAGGGTTACCTTCCACTAGACCAGGTTGCTCCAAGCCCCATCCAACCTCCTAACCAGCTGTTGTTACTGGGACCAATCCCTTTTTCTTAGAAAGAAATTCAAAGATATGTCATCAGGTTAAAATAGAGGAGAAATGCTGTCTGAATGTAATGGTGATCCCAGGGTGTTAGAGCAAGAGGAAAGAAAAATCCCACTAGGTGAAGACTTCTAGAGAAAAAGAAGAAATCAAGTAGTATGGAAGGCACTTTGAGCACTGAAACAGTGTTTACCAAAGAACATGCATTGCAGGCCAATAGATTCTGTCAGTAATGTTTTACAAGAATATTGGAAAAACCACAGGTAGCTGAATTGCAGATTTCTTGAGGCAGTATTGACCAGAAGGTAACTTAAATGGTCTGATGAGCTTTTATCAAATTAAACAAAAAGCTGAATGGACTTTATGTGGAGCTTAATTTACTGTGCTTTGAAGTCAGAATCTTATTAAAGCAGCTGTTTCAGAGTGTGTGAAACTGGAGAGGGTGAGGGTTGGAACAAGGAGATTTGACATTTTACACAGCTCTTAGGAATGACTGTGAAATGCTGTTTCTCCCTGTCTGTGCTGAAAGGTAGGTCCCCAGTGCCCAGGTGCTTTTTGCACTGTACCCAGCTGCCCTATAGACCTGTTGGGCTGTAGGAGCTCATGGACTCATTGTTCCAAGTGGTTCATGGAAGCAGGAAGAGGCATTTCAGCACTCCGTGAGCTTCGTGTTACCCAGACCTGAAGAAGCAGTATGAAGTGTGCTTGCTTTGGTCTGCCTGGGTCAGTGCTCCAGGGGTGTTACTCTAGTCTAGCAATAGAAATCCCGCAGCTGCCTTATCCCTGGGCTTCACTTTATTATCAGTAGCAGTTTTTTCTTACTGTTGAACCAAAGTCTTCTTTGCTGCACATTCAGCAGGTTATGTTTTGTCCTTCTCCCAGGGAGCATGGGAAAGAATTGTTTTCTCTTTTCTAACAAAATCACTGTGTAGTCATTCACGGCAGGAAGTGAAGCAATTTAAGTGTCTCCAAATATCTTTCCTCTTTTCTTTATGCCCCAAACAAACAGGCTCCAGATGTAGAGTTACAAAAAAGCAAACTGACTTATTTGTAGAAGGTGGTATTCAACTAGATTATATTTTTTTTTCCTTTCTTGGTCTGTTCAGCAGTGAGATGCAGGCTGGAATGCTTTGACACGTTGCTGGCTAAACGTTTGCCCTCTTGTGATAATTTAAGCTTTGTCTGTCTTGTGATAAGTTTGT